TAACCTCTACGTAGAAATACAAAATGTTCTATTGGTTTTAATAGCATTAAGACTTCGACGACTGCCATTTAGCATAAACGGCGACACATTGACTGTACCATACACAACTTTTTCTTATCTCATACTTAAGATTTTGCAAAGTGTGAGGAAAAATGAATTTTTTAGCATTTTCAAATATGACAGTAAACAATGTTCGAAATTAAATGTATTTATTAAACTTTCTATTTTATATACTAAGAAAAAAAACAAAAAGAAATACGAGTATAAGAAATCGACTTTAATAAGTTTAACCTTCAATATGTTCATTACAATAAATACCTGTCATTATGACATGAATTGTGAAAAACGCAATGCAAATATTTATTGAAATAAGTGCTCCAAAATGTTCTTGAATCCCCGAACATTCGAATCGAACACTTTAAATATTCGTGCTAATCGGTGATGTTCGTACTACTTAATGAATGCGAGATACTCTATGATGTTCGAGCTACTTGATGATGTTGGAGTTACTTAATAAAATTCGAGCTACTCGATGATGTTCAAGCTACTTGATAATTTCAAGATACTCGATGGTACTCGATGGAGTTACTTGTAATGTTCGAACAAGTTTATGATGTTCGAGCAACTCGACCAACTGATTTGTGCAATGTTTATCATATTAGTTAGGATTTTTGAAAAGTATACAGAACAACAACAAAATTTTATTTTTAATTAATTAAATTTTTGGCTGACCATACAGCTGTTTCGAGGTGTATCATCTTATACCCATCAACACTGGTCTTTTTTAAATATTACTTATATTTAATTATTCGTAAATAATTATTACGAGTATATCTATTAAGACATTAGTTTGTATTAAGAAAATAAAATTGACTTTAAATTGACTTTAAAAATCATTTTGTTTACTAGATATAGGTTGAAGAGCATTTATATAAAAGGACGTAAGTATGCACAAACATGCTCGAAAATCAATATTTTGGAAACTTCTATAAATTCAAATAATACTTAAAGCACTAATTCCGATTTTGCATTGTAAGAATTGAAAAAGATAATCCGCATAAATTCTCTATTGGTTTATGAGACTTCCAATTGATTTCTGTCAGACCTAATTGGTTTGTATTTACATTAAAATTAAAAATAACAAAACCAAAATAAACATTTAATTTACTATAATACAACGAAATGACTCACTGAAATAACATTTTTGAAAAATAATCATATTGACTTTATTGTAATAACTTCTATTACAAGCCTTAAACTTCGAAACTTAAAGACAAGAATTTTTTGTACAGATGTTACTGTCTGTTGTTGGTGTCCTTTTGCTTTATGCTAAAATACAAAAACGCCACGGATATAAAATTAGTGGGTTTTTATATTATTTGACTTATTTGTAACATATAACTTAACACTGCATTACATCTGTTAATTACTTCTATAAATAGTAATTGTCTAATTATTGTCAATTATTAAACAAATACATATAATATATTTTAAATTCCTAACTGGACTTATTTTTTTTTTAAATACCCTGAACATTGTTTCATTGTAATGATAATTAGGGCACCAAATTTGATTAATTCGCAACAAATAATGTACTATGTTTCTGCTACACTAGACAACATTCTTATTGTTGCAAATTTGTTTTTTATAGATTTTATTGCATTTAAGTTATTGTTGCTTCTCAACACAACCACTTATCAACTGAAATCAAATCTATTAATTAAATTAAAAATGATACAATTCCAAGTGCAACATGGACAATGACAACAACAAAATAACAATTGTACAATATCCTGTAAAGGGACTTAATGCGGTTCTGCTTTTAGGATTGCCAAAAGAGTTACAATAATAACTCCTTGGGATCGCCGGTAATAACCTAACCACCTAACCTACAATTTTATATTTTTTTTATTTTTGAAAGAAACTAGAATTACATCTTAAGATATTAATATTATTATATATTGGAATTAAATACAGCACAGAAATTATAGTGAAATGAAACATTCAGAAATTAGGGTTTGGGATTTTAATTTTTATTGTTATTTTCAGTAAAAACAAAATTCCAATTTATTCTAAGTCTTATAGGGATCATTAGTTGTAGTATCATTCGTTTTAAAATAAAAATCCAGAATATGGAATGAGTCTTTTACTTCATTCTTGGAAAGCTAATGTACAGATTCATCTACCGAACCGTCATCATCACTTTCCGTTGTGCTTAGAACCGGATTCACTAATATAGAGCTATAATGCTCGATAATATCGTCATCTGTAGGAAAACTTGATGTACAAATTTCATTGTCAAGCTCAATATAATCGTTAAGAGTAGCGTTTTAAGTTGTGTTATTTACATTAAACTACACTGCCAGCGACTGGCTTTTGCACAAAGAAGTAACATAAGAAAACAAAATTAAACATTTGGTATGAAATGGAACTTCCCCTAACACCCAAAATGGATTCATACTAAAAACAAAAATTTGACTTATAGAATGTACTTTCTCACATTCCTATTGGCATGTAACAATATTTTTATTTGAGTTATAGAGAAATTCGAGTTATAGAAGTTTGAATAATGGAAGCAGAATTGTATGTAATTTGCTTTCTAAAACCCTGTTGCACTCTTTTTAGATCGAGTTATACAAAATTCGAGTTATAGAAGTCCGAGTAATGGAAGCAGAATTCTATGTAATTTGCTTTCTAAAACCCTGTTGCACTATTTTTAGTTCGAGTTATATAGAAGTTCAAGTTATGGAAGTTTGACTATATTTTACAGATTAATAACGTCATAACTTGTAAGATTTAGTCACATTTTATTTTTTTTTGCTTTCGCCTTAGCACTGGAAACTAATGGATTCATAACTTGTAAGATTTATTCACATTTTATCTTTTTTTGCTTGCGATCTAGCACTGGAAACTAATAGATTCAGTTTTTTGTCACTATCCAATTATTCAAAATATAGGTCGATGATGTAGTAAACGATTCTCACATAAAGTGTGTAAATCAGATCTCGAAAAATGGAATGTATACCAGTTATAAAAGCAAAGGTCCATTAAAAACAAAAAGAAATAATAAACTGATATGAATCGCTAGTGTCATACTTAAAAATTACTATTTTGTAAAAGAAACATTTTATTGCAACTTAGAAACCGCTTAATCGCAGAAATTTTTAAGTACACCCTAATCCATTATTTACCTGCGCAATACACAGTTTACTCAGCTAGACAACAGTCAATTAATAATTTTAATGTTTGTGTATATAAATCCTAAGCACGTTTATACATTGTGACCGAAAAGCTTTCGGAAATTCTCATTTAAAATTCGCGCGCTGTATATTTTTCGATATTTTAAGTTTATGTAGTTTGGCAGCACTGTCCTTAATTACTATGCCAAAAATGAGCGCGATCTGTCAGACAGTTCGTTTACGGCAGCTGTTGAAACCAGTTCACCTAAGTAGTGCGTTGCGAAAAAAACAATGGAAAAAAATATTGAACAAAGAGTTTGCATCAAATTTTGTTTTTCGAACGAAATTTCGTGTGCAGAATCGTTGCGAATGCTACAAAAGGCTTATGGGGAATCAGTTTTATCGAAAACTCAAGTTTATGAGTGGTACAAAGCCTTTCAGGACTGTCGTACGACCGTCGAAGACATGCCGCGTTCTGGACGACCTTCGACCTCTACCACCGACGAAAACATTGAAAAGGCAAAGGAAATCGTGTTCAAAAATCCTCATGTGAGTGTTAGAGAGATAGCACGAGAGCTAGGCATCGGTCGTGAGATGGCTCGTTTGATTTTGGTGGACAATTTGTGTATGCGACGTGTCAACGCCCGGCTTGTTCCGATTCACCTCAATTTGTTCAACATTATCAACGATTTTAAGGCCAAACATTCAATAAATACCATCGAACAGCCACCGTATTCACCTGATCTTGCACCGTGTGACTTTTTCCTGTTTCCCAACCTCAAATTACCACTCAGAGGAACGCGTTTTGAATCCATAGAAGACGTAAAACAGAATTCGCAGAGGGAACTCAAAGCCATACCGGAAAGCGCCTATAAAAAATGTTTTGATGATTGGAAGAAACGTTGGCATTTGTGTATCGCTTCTAATGGAGCATATTTTGAAGGAGATAAAATAAATATTGATGAAGATTAAGAATTTTGCGTTTTATTTAAAATTTTCCGGAAACTTTTCGGTCACAATGTATAAGCTCCTTAATTGATCAAATATATTTTTTTATTGATTTTTAGTACTCATTTACAAACATAAAATTTTTATAAATGTCTGTACAATAAATTAAGAAATAAAAAAATTTTTTCCTTATCAAGCAACAAACATTAAAGATAAGAAACGCAATATAACTATTTTTTATGTTTTTTTTCATGCCTTTTGCTAATAGAAAAATTTGAAAAGGTTTATAAAATATTACACATTTCTTTGCAGTATTTTAACAACAAAATAAGAATTTTTATGATAATATTAAAAAACACTTAAATGTTTATTGCTTTTCTATAGAATTATTTCGTCAATATTATATACATGAATTTTAAAAAACTGTTTAAATTATTTAAACTATTTAGTAAAAATACTGAAAATGTTTTTCATTTTTTTTATTTATAATTGACATATAAGCCGCCTACGCACCACAATGAAAAATACCCAAGGCTTAAAAGAGAAAGCGTTACTTTTCTAACAGTTGGCAACACCATTCAAAGAAATGCTACGTCGACGACGTTGGCAGAGAATTTGGCGACGTCAAAAACTTATGTTAGTTGTTGTTGCATTCCCGCCAACAATACAATAACGGAAAAACAACTTTCTGAGAATGACGTACCGAAAATCGATTTGTTGCAATTTTTAAATCTGTACAAATTCAAAACTAATAAATAACTTATAAAACATATGGCTTTAGCATATGCAATAATTTTTTTAAGCAAATTCAATTATGAATTTATATATAAAAACTTATTATAAATCAATTAATTTTTATTAAATAATACTCACAATTCTTTAATCAGCATTTTAAAATTTTTGGTAAACTTTAGTTAAGTTGATTAATTAGATCTTTATACCTTTTTTTACACAAACAAATTTTAAAGCGAGGGAGTGGAGGGGGATGCGTTGATTGCGGATGACAAACCAAGGATATAATTTCTAATATTAACAGAAAGCTGTTTTTCAGAACTGAACCGTAATTCTTTTTACACTATTTATTAATTTTGAATGTAACGACGAACTCAGTTTCCCAAATATTAACAACCACGAAACGTTTTTAGAAATCAAATAGAAAAATACATATATTCGGCAAAATAAAAATTCACCGAGTGTGATTGTTGGGTAGCTTATGCAAGTTGAACAACATTAAGTTTAACGCCACTTATATTACATTTGTTATTTGAAACAAATATATATTTTTCTTTAATCGCGACACGTGATTATTTAATGATTATTGTTTAAGTTACGTTTTGCTCAACTTGATTTCGGTACCACAATCCGTCCCAGCTGAGTTCGCAAAAAATACTGTGCCAAAGTTACTGCAAACGTTGCCAATTGTATAAACTTTATATCGCTTTTGTGTAAGACATATTCGTCCCGCTTTAACACATGCAACTTTGTGTATTTTAAATGTGAAAAAGTTTTATATTTGTATTGTGAAAAGAAACAAATTTAAGGGAAATTACAGAGTTGCATTAAATAGGTTCAATTACAAATCGTCATAAATTTATAAATTTAATATTTTGAAAACAATTAACAAAGCTCAACAAGTAAAGAGCTAGAAATATTTCTAATCGGTTAAAATTCGTCAATTCATTCTGCTCTCTCATAACACATCTCTTTTCGCTTTCAATTATTTTAATCAGATTCATATATGTATTCAATTTCTTTTCTATTATTTTAATGTTCTTATTTTCGCCTATACAAACCTTTCGATATGTATGTAATAAAGATTGGACGTGAAATTGGGCAACAGCCGGTACTGTGGTCAGAAGAGTCCTATTGTTCCAAAATTCAATAAAGATACAACAACAACCATTAGAAATCATCAATTTTAACACTATACTTTATTATTCTATCCATCTTTTTTTATATACAATAACAATTGTAATTAGAGGAATCAACATCACAATCTTCTGGTATATGATATTGATAAAAAAAAAATATTATTTATATTACTAGTATAGAGAATTAAAGCTGAGCTTAACAATTGGAAAAAATGTATCGCTTTCATAAACATTTTCTATGTACGTCTGAACATCTGATTTACCTGATACATCTTCTATATATCAGGTAAAATACGCGGTTTGTGTAATTATATCATATAAGAAAAACAAAGCTGATTTTTATAAAAACTGATATCTTAATGATATTTTATTAAAGAATAGAATTCTTATTCATATAAACATTTCTGTAGCTATAGGCGATCCCAAAGGATTCCCTTGGGACTATATGCCCTTTATTTTACCGTATAAATTGTGTGGCTATAAATTATTTTAAAATTTAGTCTAAAATATCCACTCCATTTATCAATTTATATATCAATAGCATCATCATATATGGATCTGCCATCAGTAACTAATCGTCTCTTACACAAGGGTTTGTCATATAGCTCTATTATTTAATATTATTATATAATTATCATTTCACTATTAATTTTAATATATCTATGATTGTCTTTGAATTCCATAGTTGATTCCCATTTTTTCTATTTACTCTTCTATACTCTGCCTACATCTGTTAAGATGCCTACATAAGATAAAGCATCTTATCTAATCTACAATAGGTTTAAGCCACGTGCCCATGGAACTTGAATCTAGATTTCTATACATTATCTCTCTTACTGGTAGCGCTATATATGTATTAACATTTTATATTAGAATACATTCATTGTACATTTTATAGTTCATGCTTTTGCCTAAGTTAAAAAATGCTGACCCAATTAAATCTCAAGAAAAACACTATTTTTGATTTCTTTTTTAATACATAATAATACAATAACGATAAAATTGTATAATAATTGCTTGTTCCCCAGTGGTATTTAAAGTCGCGCACGATTTGATTAATGCTTTCATTCATTCATTTATTGCTTGTCTGTAATAATTTATACTGTTCACCTTTGACCATTACTTATTAAAATTATATATTGCTGTCATGTAGCATTATACTTTGTTCTAATGCGAGTCTCTTATTACTTATGAAATAATTTAAAAGTGTCTAATGTTAATTAATCATATAACTAGACTATATGTTAACCGATGGAAGTTACCAACATCGATATCTGTTGATAGCTTATTTAATACCTACCAGCACCATTGGCTCTCCAAAACTAACAATTCCACAAGCTTTCATTTCCTTTATTTATAACAGATTATTTTACTTAGACCTGAAATATAAATGGTTTATAAGTTCAACAAACAAATTTGATAATAGAAATCGCTTTCTACCTACTACCCAAGTTTGCTTTGTTTATTCATATTTTGTTCACATTTTAAAGATTCGTTTTGTTTGGAAGTTTCTTGGTAATAATTAACAATTAATAATTGGTAATAATTATTTTAGAAACGACTAAACTATATAAAATGATTCATATTTGAGTCTGGCTTATCTCCCTTCTAATAACTTTTAAAGTAAAAGCGCCTCACTTATGCACAAAAATTTTGTTTATTATCCACATTTATAGATATTTTGTTTTCTCTCCATATTTGTTCAATAAACATTTTTCAAATTATTTTAATATAATAATAAACAATTTAATATATGCAACAAAATAAAACTGCTTTAGGAGTGTGTTTAAAGTGAACAATAATAAATAGCATAATATAACAAAAGTTATACGTTTATATAATTAAAAATAATAAGAATTGTATTGTACTTCGCTGCTGATACAACATAATTGCATTTTTATGTAGATTATTTTAAAATAGTACATAAAAAAATTGTTAATGTGTGTATATAAAAACTTGAACATATAAATATGAAAAAAAAAGTTACAATTGCATGTTTGTATCATTTATGTTCTTACAATGTATGTATAAAGCTCTTGTCTTTTGTTTAACAAAATTATTTAAAAGTAAAAATTATAGTTATACATATGTATAATGAATTTATAATTAAATTAATTGTATTAGTGATAATATATGTAACTAAAAGTAAATGGACCAGATATGTACCCATGGCTTAAATTTATACAAATGTTTGCTACTTATAAAAGCGTTTCTGTAGAATCGTCATGTTTGCCTTTTCAAGGGCTTTAAGGTATTCTTCAATTGGTTTCAAATGTTTGGTGTTTGTTTCATTTAATCATTATTGTTTTTTTAACATCGATGTTTATTTATATTTGAAATTCATTAATATTTAATGATCATGAATTTGCATTTCTAATTCAACATCCGATAGATTTACTTCACGAAATGAATTTATAAACATATAACGTGAAAAATATATATACAACCAACGGAACCATTTCATTTGAGACTTGTGCTCTTTCATTGCACTCCGTATAATGGCAGCTTGTCTCCAACTCAAAATGCACCTATACGTAAAAGGTAGAGGAAATATTTTACATTAAAATTTTTAAATAAATTATAAGTTTATTAAGCATACCAATTCGTTGACATGAAGCACGTACATATTAGATCCAAAATGGAAATATATTTTCTTAAAGTATTTACAGAATCCAGTGTAAAAAATTTACAATCTTAAATAAAAAACAAATATTTAAATAAAATTACAATATCTATTTTATTAATTACTGACTGGCAAAAGCAGTTCAAACAAGAAATTTATTCAATCTGACAACTTCAATTGTGTCAGATTATATATACGGCACATATGTACATATATTTGTATTAACATGATTTGATTTTACTTAATACCTCATGTTTACACACATAAACAAAAATTTATTTTTAGCATCATTTATATATAAAAACAATAAATTAATGTGTAAATAATTTATAGACTTACTTTTTGGTAACAAATGAGCTAAGCATAATGAAGCCGTTGCATAGTATACAGCAGAATGGTTGGGATGTTGGCTGACACCATCTCGATCATATGTTATTACAGCATCAATATCAAGACTTTCCACCATATTTAATATATATTTGGCTACCGATTCTGTTTGCCATTCTACATAAGGATCATCAGGTAAATGCGTTGCATTTAATAGCATTATATTAGAAGATGGTATACCCAAGTAAGCGCAGGAACTCCAAAGTTCCTGGCGACGCAAATGCGATTTGTTCTCATAATTACCTGTAATTTAAAATGTAAATAAAATGAAAATCTAAACTGAAATCTTTTACCATTGGATAGACATAATATATGAACTTGTACATCGCGTTGCGTTAATGTATAAATCAACGGTCCAAAGAACATACACTCATCATCTGGATGTGATGTTACAAAAAGCACTCTTTTCATTGAACAGCTAGAAGGTAACTTTATGCTCTTAATAAGCCTTGGTAGTCGATTAACATTATCGCCATTAAATGTTACTAAAAAGAGCAGTTTGTATAAGCCCAGGCATACTACAATGTATACCAAGCAGGCAAACAGTATATGCTCCAGGGTTTCGGCCGTCTTGGTAGTAACAAATAAATAAAAAGAGTTCCTATTTATAAGGTTAACTATATTTATAACTGTTGTATTTCCACCAATCGCCTGCAATTCTTGTAGTTTAGCCGAAATGTTGACACCAATTAAATCAGTCAGCCAAGACATAGCATGTTATTGCAGTGCGTATGTCAAGTTTATATTTTTTGTTTTTGTCCCGTATAATTTATATTGTATACATTGACGAGAAGCATTCAATCAACTTAAACGATATTTACAACAATTTTTTGATGCTGGAACAGATTTTAAGTCCAAAAAATGACTGCGTTATTAACAAATACATGCAGTTACTCAGCAGTTATGATTCTGTGCAATAAATGTAATAAGCTATATATAATATGAAAAAACTATTGACTTTTTATATTGTTGATGTTGTGCTATTTTCCAAGATCGTTGTCGCTGCGGCGTTTGTTGTTGCTTCCCGCGCGCCTGTTAGTCCTGTGATTCGTGTTTGAATATTTTTCGATGTTCCCATCAGTTATTTGTAGCTGTTTTCTTTTTTTGTTTTTCCAAACGAAAATTTTTTTGTTAACTGAAACACTAAGCGTGGATATAATTTTTATGAGTTGCCAAATAAGTAGATTCACATCTTTTTGCAAAAACTTATTTCTCCTCAACCATTTTTTGACAACTATGCTTCTTCTTTACAAAGTATTGTACTGTCAAAAACTTGGGGGCGAGTAGAGTTGTATTTCCAAACTGTTAGTTATGGAAGAATTAAAATTTTGAAACTATTTTTAGAAGCAAATTCTTTTTATGATTACAATTCATATTATAAATATTAAATATTATAAATATTAAAATTGTTTACTGAATAAAAAATGATTTTTGTAATTTTCAAATTTTAAATTAAATGACATAGACACAATATTAAGAGCAGATTTCACAGTCGTAACTTAAATTTCATTTAAAAAAGATGATCTCAAAACTACTTTAATACGGCGTTTACATTGGCCGAAAATGGCTCATTTTGGTCAAAAATCGAAAATGAGTATCGAATGGCTCATTCTTGCATATAAAATTTCAAGCACAAAAATGAGCAATTTTCTCACATTCTGTATGACGTTCGAATGCATTCCACATACGTTCCAAATGCAAAGGAATCCATTGAACATACCCTAAATGAAAGCTCTTCATGGCATTTTGACAGTTTGAAAAAGCTGTTTTGACATATTTACAAAAAAAGGTAAAAAAATGTTTGGTGGTTGCATTTTCTTTAAAACGATGCACCAATTTTTGGAACTTCTACTTCACAAAAATAAATAAATCGAATCTAGAAACAAGTTTTCAGTTTATATTGTAAGGTTTGAAGGTATATTTAACCTTCCTGTAACATTTTTTTGGCACAGGCCAAAAATCAAATCAACATGCAAGTTGAAAAATTAGATGTTGAAATGAGAACAAATGAAATAGAACGAATGTAAACACTTTCAAATGGCTCATTCAAAATGAGCCATTTTCGGCCAATGTAAACGCCGTATAAGTCATGTTTAAGCCATCAATTTTAATGACTATTTATACTTAAGTCAATTTTGAGACTTAAAATACGATTATAGTGCGTTACAGTTTTATTATTTATAAAAATGTAAATATATATGTTACATATTGACATTACGTAATGTTGTATATAACTTCGCAATTTGGATTTTATAATGTAAAATAGTACTCTTCTGAAAATTTCTGTAAATATAATTAAAGTTAATATTAAAATTTTTTTCGAATTTAAGGTGTGCTCTGACAATTTCATTATAGGAATATTATATTAAAATCAAATTTATTAAATATAAATATTAATTTGAATAAGCTACAATTTTAAATATATATTTGTTAGGGCGTATATATACTTAGGTCGTGTGCAAGTTCGAGTAAATTGATAGTAAATTGAGGAAAATAATAAATTATATTGGTATAGTAGCGAATGTTGGTTTTTACCAGAATTTCGAGTAGGATAAATTATATCAAAATTAGGTGTTACCATTGTGGAAATTTTATAAGGTGTTTAAAAATGTCTAAAATTCATTTGAGAGATTACTCTCACTGTCCTTTTACCTAAAAAAAATAAAATATCTTTGAATAATAAAAAATATTCAAAATTAGCCGTGTAGTGTACCACCGTGGCTTACTGTATTATAGAATATATCTTGATGTTTTTTAAATTTTGTGGAGCAGTCATCCAGCATCATATATACGTATTTACTAATTTATACAAAATGATATGCGACAATGCTGGTTTGTGAAAGAGCGCTTAAAGCGCGTATTACACATGAGATTTTTTTTTCAAACTTTTTTATGAAGTGCGAAATTTGTGCTAAATTTGATGTACAATAGTAACATTTCAAGTGTTGACAAAAAAGTTTGATGGAAATCAAAAACTTTGATTTTTCGTCAAAATTGGTCGTGTGTTTTGGTATACAATCGGATTTTTTTCGACTTACATGCAAAATTTTATTCATTTTAAGGGATGAAAGCGAAAACGTCGTTAAAATGCAATCATGATTTTATTTTATAGTATATTTGTTGATTTTTTTTGCTGGGGCATATTCAAAATAATGTCGACTGTTTTGATGTATAATAGCAAGCGACGATAAAAAAGTTTGACAAACAAATCTCATGTATAATACGCGCTTAAGTACAAAGTTATATAGACAGTCATGGTCACGTCAAATGTACTATTATTGTTGTTTTCAATGTAAATAAAATTATTTACAATAATAGAAAAAAAAAGAAATCGATTTAGATTCGGTCATGTTGGCAAAGCTTTCTATGCTTTGTAATTTTAGTGATCCTCAATAATGAATTACAAAATTTTCACCTATTAGAAGTAAATATGTGTATTTTTCTGAAGATATCCACATAAAAATAATAAGCATATAAATTTCGGCACAAAAAAAATAAAATTGTAAAAGTAAAAAATTGAAAATTGTGTTATGATTTTCTGTATAATATAGGTTTTTAACAAAATTCAAAAAGATTGAAAAATTGTTGTGATCATTTGTCATATGACTGATTATCTATATAACAGTACTACAATAATAACTTTTTATAAATATTGCATTCTTTTGGTGTCCTTTTTTTTAAATTTGTGAAATATATTAAATGTAGTATTTTGTTATATACATATTTCAGTACTATTTTGTGATTAATTTAATTTTTTTATATAATTGTTTTTAGTTGCTGCTAAGAACTAAAACCAAAATTAACTTTCAGTATTTTAAAATAATTATGGTTGTGAAACAAACATTTTCTTTTGAGTGTAAAATTAATTCTTGTTTCTTTGCTTTTTTTGACATTTGGTAACAGTTTTTCAGAAGTTTAGCCGATTCTAACACGGTTTAAAGTATATAAAATTAAGCACAAGATTGAATGTAATCGATTTTGAATAAAATATAAATAAATTAAATATTGTAAAGAATGTATTTTGATAAAAAATTTTAATAGTTACAACACAATCACGGTTTTGCAAAAATTTATTTAAAACTGTTGATAGATATAAATGGTGGATAAAGTCAATAAAACTGAATAATTTTTGGCAATTTTACAAATTACTTCAAAAATCTATAGTGTTCATTATTATAAATTTGACATACTAACAACAAATTGAAGTAATTAATAAGTGCAATTAGCAAAAAGGAAAACAAAGTACATAGAAAAAAGAAAAAAAAAATAATGGCACAGCACGTGTTAAGTCCCGCCACCGTTGAGCGGCGATTGCGCCCTATTTATGGTAATTATGCTTTATTTATAAATATTAAAAATAAATATTATGTACATGTACTAAACTCAATACATTATGTAGTACATTGAGCATATATTAATAAATTAAAAAAAATATTGCATAACACAACGGAAAAATAATATCCGCCGAATAATAAGCTTTAATAAATGGATTTCTTAGGGTATGTACCAAATAAGACTACAAAGCACTCTCCAAAAAGTCGTATGGCTCTGTAAACAGTTCCCTAATTTGTGAAAACATCTATTAATTTCTATTTCTATTAATGCCGGTATTATGCTGTAACGCCTTGTTCAAAAGATTAACTAAAAACAACTAATTCTATTTAAGATTGAAAAGTGTTGAAAAAATCTATACCTAATAATAAATGGAACAGAGATACACACAGAAAGAATGACACCACACATCAGTGGTGTGGATTTTCTATGTCAACATAATGCATTGTGTTATTTATAAATCAACAATAAACTGACTTTACAGTTTTTTATTCATAGTGAAATCGAGTACTATAGATTTGTTTTTGAGTTAATACAAATAAAATTCTACAATGATTTGCATAATATTGGCTGAAAAATATATAAAAGATCAATAAAAATCCCATTAAAATAAGAAAATCGTAACAGCTTTTTTAAGAATTGATAGTAAGTCCTTTAAACAAGTTATTGGACACTTATAATTTTTTTGAGTTTTGGCTGAAAAAACAGTTTAAGTCTATAATATCTCTATAAGTCAAGATCATACATACAATTATATAAACAAAGCTGTTTTTTCATATCTGCACTTGCCTCTTCATATAAGCATTACTTATAATTTCTAGTTAAGGCTTTGCATTACCCACAATTACGATTTGCCTTCTAAGTAATTAAGAATTTATTAATTTATCAGTATTACAGATATGCTTTTATAATACAATGATCCTAATACAGAGTACATAAAATAGATAGATAGATTAATTAGATTATTTGAGACAATAACTATTAAGTTGTCTGTCTTGTATATAATCTATTTATTAGTCGAACTTTGATTCAGTTTAAACTAATAGTTATATATTCACGACGATAATACCCGATGACGCTATTATTCAAATTATGTTTATATACACACACATTACAGACATTTTGAACACTTAAGTTTAGTTTCCAACACTCTCAGAACAGTGATTTTGCTTGTGAAACACTTGTTTGTAAATTATAAACTAAAGAAATTATGAACTATGAACCCATTACCATTTTGAATTTTTCAATGATTATAATGTTTCACCATAAAACTGTCATTAGAGTTTTTCTCAAAGCTGAGCAAATATAAAAGCCAATTAATATCAGTCTTATATGCAACTGAGGTTAAGATCTCCTGTTCCGTAGAGTTCACCCCGACCTAAAAGATCTATTGTGCGCCTATAGGCCCAACTAGGACAATTTTAGACTATTTATAAATCTTATAATTGCAGTGGGCTTAATTTTACCTATTTGATTTGGGACCAGGATCCCGCTACCAAGGTAATCGAGTCTACGTCTTGCTGCCGCTGGGTAGTTGCATAGAACACGTTCTGATGTTTCCTTCTCCTCATGACAGAGTCGACAGGAATCACTTTCTATCGCACCTATAATCTTCATGTGGTAATTAAGTCTACAGTGGCCTGTAAGAAGTTCAGTGTAGATTTTGATATCGTTTCTGCTAAGGTTGATGATAGCATCAACTTTGATGTGTTCAGGATCAATAAATCTTTTTGACTGTCGCATGCCTGTTTGGCCTCTCCAGTGTTCAAGTAGATGTTGTTTCTCCCGTTCACATAATAAGTCATTTGTGAAGCTATTTGTTACCCCGTAGAAGGGCTCTGGACCAATGAAAGAACTACATATATTAACCATTAAGTTTTAGTCTTACTAGATGGAATGGAACTGGATTTCCATTATTCAAAATAATAAATATTTCTCTCACCTACATTTATTGTATTCTTTATGAATTGTCTTTAGTTGACAGATCTATCCAAATTCAATCTTTAGCCATAGCCTTACTGATGATAGTGGTTTTTCACTTTATTTCATTATTTAGAACATGCATATAATTAATTATTTATGACACAAAGGATTCATAAGTCTGCTAATCATCTTTTTACCTGGAAATTTGTTTTACATTCAGTGATCTACACAAATGCAGTGATGTACACACTAAAACATTTTGGACCATTTTACGCTATTTATATTTTATTTTTTGTAATCATATAAACTTTGACTTATGTTTAAAAAACTCCTCAAAATAATTCTCTAAATATGCACCTGCTTTTGTTATTGTATTGCGGTAAGATCTACAAATCTTACCGGTCTAAATTCTCGATGTCACCCTTGTTGTAGAATGCGTTATTGTGCTGTCTTTAATCTACAAATTTTACCGGTCCAAATTCTCGATGTCAGCCTTGTTGTAGAGTGCGTTATTTATATATATGCTTCTTGTAAACGTAATGATTTATCCTTCTATTAATATAGTTACTATGTTGTTATGTTATCTAATTAATGTATATAGTCTTTTTCTTAGTTTTTATATATGTATATTTTTTTATATAGTTATTTCCTATATAAATAATGCAGGATGTTATAACAACTTTATATAGTTTATATAGTTTATTGCACTCCAAAAGACAACTTCAGTTGTCATATAGACTATTGCACTCCGTAAGGCAACTTACAAGACCGAAATCGATCTTACATTGTAACAAATGCACTATTAACAGAAAATGAACTTAAAACAATCAATTTACTTAGTTTCTGTATTTTACATAGCTCACCAAACCCAGCTCTTTCACCAAACCAAAAATATATTTGTCTTCTAGCACAGCTTCTGAGTTCAATTTTTTTATTGTATATTGTAAATTTTCTTCTATTTACTATAATAGGTGTAATCTAATGGGAAAAGTAAACAATTTCCGATTTTCTATGTACAGGCCCGACTCTCTAGAGGCAGTAACAAAGTTTTTCCATCGGTTCCAAATGAAGTTATGTGTTTTGGTCGTAACTTTCTCCTTGATAAGGAGCGATGCCTACCAATACTGGCGGTCTATACGCAACTCACGCCGAATAAATGATAAACAAATACCGATCATTCTTCCCACGTAAGTTCGGGTATTAACCACAGCCACAACGACTCTGCCAACCATCACTTAGCCAGGACAGCCGAAGCTGCGAGCACCCGATCCCCGTAATATCAGATTTACACCTCCGATCGGGTTTCGCAAGAGCCATGCACACTCCACAACAGTGTCGGCATAGCCCCAGGATTTTAGTCGCCTTTTACGTTAAGTATGCCTACTTCGTGAATATTCTAACCCATTACCTGCAGAGGGAGCTCTCCAGAGGCAGCGAGCAGTCACTTTAGTTAATCCGCTCTTCCATAATCTTAGAGTTTGCAGAAATTAATATCAATAAACTTCAAAGATTCCTAAACCGCGTACCTAAACATGCTGTGTCAGTCAACTAACCAATATTTTCTATTAAGAGAAAATTATTATTTGATCCTGTTCACTTATTTAAGTCAGCTATTTTAGTATAAGGTTATGTATCAATATGTTGAAGGTATTTGAGCCAGTTCACTTAAGCACTTTTACTCTTTCTTAACTCGAGGTATTTTCAAAATCTCTCTCCCTACGCCTTGACTGGATTATTGTTTATCACTTCATCAGACTAAGCAATAATTGACCTCAGATCTGCATGCCTCCCCGAGGAGTCTGTAACAATTCTGAGATTTGATAACGCGGTGTTGGTAAGTCTGTCAGTTTTCGTAAATAATTTCAGGGCTCTATTTCTTATGTATTTTTTGTTGGGATCAATCTTGAGGTCCCTGAGGATATCATTCGTCCCAATGTACCAAGGTACTTTGAAAAGTCTTCTCAGAGCCTGGCTTTGTGCAATTGCTAGCTGGCGAATAGTAATGTTTGAAGCTTTGTATCATCATGTCCTTACCTCATTATGACTCAGTGAGTATTTTCTTTCTTCGCCAACCAATGAGTATTCTCTATCTTCGAACTGATGCCACTATTATTCAGCATTCAGATTTTTATTGTGATAAGGGCTTACATCAGCTTAATGATGAAAAATAATAAAATAACAATCATTCTTTATTTATTTTATTGTAATTATTATTTTTTAATAATTTTTTTAAAATTTATTTACAGACAATTTGGAAGTTGGCAATAATCGCAAAGCTTTACAAGAATGTGAAAAAGTATTAAAGAAACATCCACATCTGTTATGTGCGCGAGCACTAAAAGGTTTAGCGTTGCTCCGGCTGGGACGTGTAGAGGAAAGTGATATATTTCTGACTGCAGTAGCTAATGAGCGACCATCAGATGATTCAACGTTGCAGGTTCTATCGTTTTGCTATAAAGAATTGGAGCAACGTAAGTGAGCTCGGCGTGAATTATTAATAACTACAAATACTTAACTAAAAAACAAAATTTTTTGTTTAAATTGTTAAAGTGTGCTAGCGCACAATTGTCGCACATTAATTTTTGTCAGTTTATTATTTTGGTGTATTTTATATATAAAAAAGCAGCTCATATTAGCCAAAAGTTCATTGTACGAAGTGAGTGCGGAAAGTATGAACATGGCTAATGAATATTTCAAAATATTTTTTACTTAGTAAAGAATTCAAAAAATAAATATATATAACATATATATATGAAAAAAATGAACATAAATATATATATATTATATATATATAAATATATGTATAAATATATATGTATATATATAAATTTATTAAGTTAATAGACTTTTTAACAAACTTGCTTTATGACAAACTTCAATTCTTTTCATCTTATTTATATATAAAATTTTATTAATAAAACATTTTCTAATTTGTTTTTACTTCGCAGTGGATAAAATAGTTGAACTATATAATCTGGCTGTACAGCAGTGTCCTGGCAATGAAGAACTGCTGGCTCATCTTTTTATATCACATGTGCGTATTGAAGATTTTAAAGCCCAACAATCGGTAGCACTGCAGTTATATAAAGCTGTGCCCAAAAATGCATACTACTTTTGGGCGGTAATGAGCGTTGTGTTGCAGGTAAAGTCAAAATATATTAATAAATATATAAAATATTTTTTTAAATATATTAAAATAAGATTTTCATCCTTACAGGGTATACGAGGTCCAGAAAAAAATGTACCAGAAAAGCGGAAACTCTGTTTATCACTTGCCCAACGCATGGTTGACAAAATTATTAACGAAAATAAACTGGAGTCTGAGCAAGAAGTATTCCTTTATTTTCATATATTAAAACTGCAGAATGACAATAAAGCTGCCTTAACATTTCTTAATGGGCCAATTTGTGAAAAGTACTATCCCGGTATACCCATATCGTTTAAAATTGAATTATTACAAAGTTTATGCATGTGGGAGGAAATTAATCCACTTTTAAAAGATTTACTTAAAGAAGAGTGAGTAAAAGTTCGTTATACTCATATAAAAGTATTGAATAATAAATTATAATCTTAACTTCTCAGACCGGATCGGTGGGATTATTATAAAGATTATTTAACGAGTTGCTTTGAACTGTACAAAATTGAAAAAGAAAAGTCAAAAAGTGAGGAGGAATGTATGCAAGTCCTTGAAGATTGTCATGAATTTATTTGCATGGTATTTATAAATTTTTATTAAGAGATTCATCCTTACTTAATTGTAGTATTATTACAGCTCATTGAATCGAACACAAAAAAAGTTCGTGGCTCATATTTGGCAAGATTGGAACTTCATAAACGTATGCGAGCACAAAATCTTAATACCAAAGATTTATTAGGAAACTTCTGTGACCAAGTTTTGGAGTATTTTCGTTTGTTTGGTAATAAATCTTGTTGCACACATGATGTAGCGCTCTTTTTAGAGTCTATTAGCATGGAAGAACGACAAAGTTTGGCCAGTAAATTGTTATTAGAAAGTGGTATTAGTTCAACAACGCTCCCACAAAATGTAAGTATTTTATTAAAGCGACTCTGCGATTATATCAATATGAATAATAATTTTTATTTATATAGAAAGATCAAATGCAAAAACATATTTGTGCTTTACAAATTTCACGTATGTGTGGTTCTCATATTGACTTGAAAGTAGAGCATTTACTTGCCTTTTACACAGCTTTAAAGTTACATTACGAACATGGCTTGAGTTCATTCGGCAAAGGTTTACTAAGTACAGATATCGGACCCTCAGATCCGTATGCCTTATTGGCCGGTAAATTTATATCAAAATAAATTCAAAATTGTTGTTTTATTTTTTTATGTTTTAGCCAATGTTATGTATGACATCAGCTTACAAGAACAAAAATCAGATCATCTCTTTGAAGCCCTCTGCTTACTACAATATGTGCTTCGTAATAGCACAAGCAACTTCCATGTGAAATTATTAAGTCTGAAAATTTATCATATGTTCGGGTGTTTACTGGGTGCGCAGGAAATGTATGATTATTTGGATATCAAACATATACAACTAGACTCAATGGGATATGTGCATTGCAATTTATTGCCACTATGTGGACGCGTATCAATGGGACGTACAGTATTCGACGCAACGTTAAAATTTTTCACTTACAGTTATAAGGAACGGCTCGAATATATTTCTTATGCCTATCGTTTCTGCTCATTTTCAAAGCTAGAAGAATTTATGAACTTCAAGGAACGCCTATCTAACAGTTTGATGTATGTAAGCACTGCCGTCGAGGCGCAGTTATGTGATTTGGTGTCCTTTTACGGTAGCGTGCAACAAAACTTGACAGCATACAATGCAATGAGCATAGACCCATCTGATGATCGTATATCGTGGCATGAATTGAGCGATAATCGTGATTTAACAGCAATTTTACGTTGGGATCCTGTACATTTAGTTAATGTTGAAGAAGAGCGAAAGTCTTCCTTTGAACAAGAAGTGGATTTATTGCATATAAGATCGTTAATATTACGCTTAGTTAGTTCATTTGTAGATTTGTTCCATCCTGCACCAGAAGCGAAATTGTCTGCTAAGAAACCAACAGTTAATATAAATGCAAATAAAAACGAAATTAATAAAGAAAAATTAAAGGAAATAGATGTAGTGGAATCGCTGCGGGACAGTTGGAAGACACTTTTTGAAAATTTGCGTAGTAAAAAGCATAAACCTCTATCGAATCGATTTATAGCAGATCTATTGCCAACGCGTTTACATTTAATGCTACAGATGCCATATGAAGCATTTTTCACAAATTTGGCAGATTTTGTTATAAATTTGTATAAAGTTGACAAATCTTTAAGTGAGAAATCAAAAGCAGTAAACGATAATGTAACTAGAATAGTAGCAATACTCAAGGATACCATAGAGGAGAGCAATATGACTAGAGGCGATGGTCTTTGGCGGCGTAGAGAATGGCAAAATAAAATAGCAGCGTGTATGGAAGTTAGTATTGCGTTTACTATATTTTAAACAAATTTCTATTTAATTTTATAATTTTATAGTTATTGTCATTGTATGTTTTTGTGTTATCGGTGTTTAATGAGAAATTTCAGCCTCCATTGAAATCTTCAAAATCTAAAAAGAAAACAGAAAATTTAACAGATTTACAAATGAGTGAAAAGGAACGCAGTCAATTATTACAAGATATGCAAAGACATGTGCGACAGAAACTTGAAGTTTGCGATTATACCATACGTAAGTTTATTAAACATTATTTATTAAGAAGACAATTGTAAATTGTTTAGCAAAAATTAAAAAAATTATTGTTTATTAATCTGATCAAAGCTTCGAAAAGCTTAATACTCCAGCATGTTTGTGCTCTAGCATTCGAGTAGAATACACCAACACCTAAAACTTGTGTTCGAACATTTCCTATTATACGTATTTATATAGGACAATGCAACAGATAGTAAAACTTTTTGAATGAGCTGCCTAAATAGTTTAAACATCTTCTGGCAGCATGACCATTTAAAGTGTTCGAATTCGAGTGTACTCCAGCTGGTGAAACATGTTGTTGTTGTTGTTGTTGTTGTTGTTGTGACCAGCTACGATTTGCTTGTAAAGTTCTTTTAGGAAATGTCTAACGGCAACTTACCAGGTGATTCATATCATAAAAACAGTTTAAAATTGTTTAAACCATTTTGACTATCAAACAATATGGGTTTGTGCTAACAATGAAGCATAATGCATGATCCAAAAATTTAAACAATGAAGCATTGTGTATCTATATTTGACTATGGCAGTGTGTGACTCACAGTAACGACGATTATATGTTTGAGTGCATTGATTTGTGGATTGTTATCAGATTCTATGTTGTCCAGTTTTGTCCATTTTTTTTTCAAGGTAGGAATGTCGTAAAAATGATTTCGTTGTTACGAATGTTGCAAGGAAACAGTTAGATAGACAGTATTCTCCTCTTTATATAACGTATAAAGTAGGAACAAAATAAAATTTAGATGAAGATTGGAAAGTTTTGTTAATTGTTAAAAATTGATCCATCTTTGTATAAAAATATTTCGATTAATTCTTTTTTTGAGAGAGACACTAAAAAAAGTAAAATAATTAAAAAAAGTTGACATATTTGTTTGTAGGTAAAGTTTTCAATTGTCGTCAGCTTTTCCAATTTTTATTTTTAATTATTCTTTCTTACAAAGTATTACAGCTATTCCTATTTTGTGTACTTACTTTATATTATAGTAAATAAAAACCATGATTTAACCTCCTTACACGCTTGATATATAAGTGTTTCATATATGCATAGCGATTGTAGATTACAATATTAACTTCTGTCAACAAAGATTTTGTTGTTTCCTTTTTAGAGACCTAATTTTATTAGATATTTAAATTTAGTATTTTTATATTCATTATATCGACATAATGTATATGTTTTTATAACATTTGAGTAAGTTTATTCTATATATAATGCTGACTAAACTACAACGTCTATTTATAGCTGTAAGAATGTAATCTATCTCTTTAATATAATCTTTCCGACTTTTTGCAGTATATCTTACAATATTTTTATTAAGTACTCAACTTGTTTTTAACTTGAAAAACATGATAAATTCTTATTAGTAGAGAAGATGAACTTCTGTTTTATTTTTTATCCTCTTAGTTTTCCGAAATTGCATGCTATTTAATGCATAGTTCCAGTATTTTTTTAATTATTTATTTCGTTGGTGTAATTTAATCATGCCCTGCAACAACTATTTTTTTTTGTTATCACACAACTATGTTGGTAGCGTATAAACAAATCTCCTTTTTTTTAAATCTAAGTTTATCAAGAAAAACAATATGAATATTTTGTTATTTTCTGGTTCCATAGATTTTTTTATAGACTATTATTTTAAAATTTACATTTACATTATTTTACTAATATCAATAAGTAAACTTAAATATATTTAACTTTGAAATCTCTTAATTTTCAGAATATTGGGAACCTCCAACACTGCCCCGTGACTTAAGTTCATTTATGGCCGATTTATCACTAAAGCCTGAATTCGAAACAACACTCATTAGCGATGTTGCGTCAATATTTAAAGAATCGCATGAGCTCATGGTGAATGAGTTCCTCAACTTGATTAAAGATAAAATATTTTGTTGTTCAAACGTCATAGACAAAACAAATGCAAAAAAATAAATAAATAAATATTTATTTATGAAAACAACAAATTATTTTGCTACGTGGGGGATAATATTTTTCTAAAGAATCATGTTGAAAACATTTGATTAATACCAAAATTTCTGATAGTAAATAAATTTGGCTTGTCTTATAAAATTCTTAAATGTATTTTTAAAATATAAAGTAAAAAAAAATTAAATAAAATCTACGTCATATTTACATTTGTATTACATACATATATAAATTTTAATAATGTAAAAAGTAATTAACTGAATTAAGTTTTATAAGTTTATGTTGTAAGCTAAACAATCAAGTTTTTAATTTATAAGAATAAAGTTAACAGCTTTTAAAACATTCAATACAAATTATATTTTACTTATATTATCTTCAAAATGGATAAGTATATTGAGCTATACCATGTTACAGGTACGTGTTGATTACTTAACGCTACGCCATAATTTAAGTTCATTTTATATTCTTCGATATGATATTGCAAAATTAATGTAGAAGTGTATTTCAGATCTAAAATATATTTTTTAATACTCACTTCAGTAAATAAAAAAAGTTATATAGAAATAATTTAATAGCAATGACTTATTTTGTTAAATACTCTTTCTTTAAAAAAAAATAAACCTTTTTTTGCAATCGTCGCTTTACCTACCATTCACCAGTGTCTCTTAAATGCAAAGTACATTTTGTAAAGCTGATTAAAGTAAATAATGTGTTTTATTAAATATTCATTTTTATAAATAATGAAAAAAACAAAGTCTTTGAAATTCTGAGAGATCAATAGACGGTCTTTCAGAATGTACTACTATAGTAGTGTCTCTTAGATGCAAAGTATATGTTTTAATATCTACTTCAGTAAAAAAAGAACATTATTTACAAATGATTTAACAGTAATAAGTTATATTATTAAATACGCCTTCTTATAAATAATGAAAAAAAAAATATTTGCGGTTCTAAGATCAATCGACGATCTTTCAGAATACAGTATTGTTGTAGTAGTGTCTCTTAGATGCTTTTTATATCTACTTCAGTAAAAAAAAAAAGAATATTTAAATATTCTTTCTTACTATATAAATAATGAAAAAAACAAGTTCATTACGAGTCTGAGAGATCATTCGACGATCTTTCAGAATGTAATACTTTAGTATCTCTGACATCGAAGGTACGTTTTAATATCTTCTTTAGTAAAAAGAAGAATATTATTTACAAATGATTAAACAGCAATAAGTTATTTTATTAAATATTCTTTCTTATAAATAATAAAAAAACAAACCAATTCTTTGCGATTCTGAGAGATCAATCGACGATTTTCCAGAATGTAGTACGCTAGTGTCTCTTATATGCAAGAGACTTCAGTAAAAAAAAGAATATTATTTACAAATGATTTAACAGTAATAAGTTATTTTATTAAATACTCTCTTATAAATAATAAAAAAAAATTCTTTGCGATTGTCGCTTGTACTATAAAACTTTGTTTTATACACATGTTAAGTATAATAAACTTAAAAAAAATTCTTATTGTTTTGTACATTGTGCTTGTACTAATATAAAAAATAAAATGGCAAAAACGTAAAGTAATTATAAAGCAAAAGTTTGTTTTATACACATGTTAAGTATAATATGTAAACTTAAAAAGAAATTCCTTATTGTTTTGTACATTGTGCTTGTACTAATATAAAAAATAAAATGGTAAAAATGTAAAGTAATTATAATGAAGAGTTTGAAAAAAAAAATTAAAATTGTTTATTCATTATTAGTTACTGCGTCACTACCAGTTGCAGCTTGGCTTGTAGCTTCCCCGTTGTCAGTACGTGGGCGCCGAAATAATAGTATGTGTGGTTCAGGATTGTGTATCATGAAGTGCACCCATCCTGCGCTTTGCTGTACACCAAGATTACGCCATTCTGTTTCAGTCATCAAATGTGACTTCGGCACTGACTTGCTCAATTCCCCCGGCAGTATAACGTGCCTAAAGAAAAAACAAAACAAAAGTACAGTCAGATTCTATTGTACCACAATAATAACAAAATAATGTTATACATTTGCGCACGATTTTCTTAAATTTCTTACATTTTCTTTACGTATTTATAGGTTGTTAATGTTTTTTAATATATATATGTACTAACCTGTATTCGTAAATATCATCATAATATTTTTCAGAATACAAAATTTGATCGTTTGGCATTGTTACAGTTTATTTTACCCAAAATTTTTTAAACAATTTACATTGAAACAGTGTTTTTTAAATAGAAAATCAACAAGTAAAACTTAACGAAACCTTCAATCAATTGCTGTCAAATAAGTAAGCACGCAGGGCTGCATTCTTTAAAAATACTAAATAATAATTTCGGAAAATATTACTTTTATAATTGATTACATGCTGATTTGGGATACAAGAAGAATTTCATGAATATGTACGTTCATATTTTCAAATAATTTACTACTACTTGATCAGATTTGACTCTTTGAAAATTGTATTCCTTTGGCAAAAAATTTTTTATTTTATATCTAACTAAACTTTGTAAAAATAATATTTATATATATATATATATATATTATATATATATATTATTTTATGTTTATATGCAAATAACTTTATATAAATATAGTTAATAAGTTAAATAACTTTATATATATATTTACTGCTATGTTGTGGCTAATTGAGTTAGTGCTAAGTTAATTTGAAGTAATTTGTATTGTTTATTTACATTGTTGATCCTAGCAATATTGGAATAAAGTTTAAGCAGCATTTTTATCGAAAATTGGAAACATAAAACAGTTTAACAGTTTAAAGAGTTGCACAAAATTATAATGAAAGTGTAATAAGTATTGTGAATTTAATTTCTAATACACTTTTAAATAAATTGTATAATAAAACTTTAAATGTCATTTAAATGTTTGCGGTTTACATACATTAAAAAATAAAAAAGTGTATGACGAGATAACTACGGATATACAATTCGACCCGTCGAAAGCACCTTATATTAAAAAAATTTGGTTATAATAAACAAATCAAAAAGGAATAAATTTTAATTGTAAATAACATTGGGACTGTAACAACGGATTTTACGAACATTGCATGTGATAATAATGACAGTAAAGCAAATACACATTAAATAGTAATAATTAAGAAAAACAACAACTGTTGCAAAAACAACAATACAAGAACAATGAAAGCCTTCACTCAATTTTCGAATTTGACACACTTTTTTTCTAAATTATAGATATTATATACTGTTTAATAGAGTATTAAACATTGCAGCATCTACAATCTTCTAACCATTTATTTCATTACATATATATATATATAATATACTATATAATTGATAGTATATTACTCTGAAACATATAAAAAATATATTTACTTTCATTTATTTTATATATTATGGCCGTATGCGAATTCGAGTAAATTGAGGGAAAGTAAATTGAAGTTTCTTAGGAATTTTTTGCTGTGCACTTATGTAAATATTTATTTATTTATTGCATTTATTCATTATTTTTGGTTTAAAGTTTTCAAATTTATTTATTAAACAACTTATAAAATTTTCACAATAGTAACACCTAATTTACCTAATTTTTATCTTACTTACCCTACTCGAAATTCTGCAAAATACCAACATTTGCTCATCAATTTACCATCAATTATCATCAATTTACTCAAACTCTCAAACGGCCTCAAACTCAACATGTATGATTAAATTGAAACAAATGTTGAGTTGGTAGCACTAAAAGATGTTTCTGTGTTTATTGAAAAACAAACATTTTTTTTATGATTTGACAATAGTTGTTGCTACTATTTAAGCGCACGCGCAGATTAGTGGCGCAACGTTCAAAAATCAAAACAACAAATCTTTTGGGTATGTCAACTGTGTTGTGGGGAGAGGCGGTACATGCTCCAAAGGAATACGAATGACAGTGCTAAGTGAATAGTACAAAAACAGATAATGATAATATTGCTCCAAAAATTGTGGGTGGAAGGGCAAATTAATAAAAATTGCAAAAGAAGCAAATATTTTTCATTCGGTTCGTCGACATTCCATGAATTGAACGGTGTACACATAAAAATAGATTCTAAAAAGCAACTTAAAAAATGATTTAAAAAAGTAAAAAGCGCTTATACATATGTAATATATTCGATAATAGTAAATTTCTAATAAACATTCTAAAAGCTTTTTCAGTAATTTTAAGAGTAATTAAAAATCCACAATTCGTAAAAATAAAACAGTGACGATGTTAAGAAAATGCAAATGAACAATAATACATCAAAGGCTATGGAATTGATTAAAAAGTGCTCTTTTTTTGACATTTTTTTAAAGCAACAACATTGCATTTTTGTAGTTATTTTTGTAACAAAATAAGCACAAAAGATTTGAAAGAGTAAATTAAAAACGGGAAAAAATTATGATGTATCATAACCGAAGCAACGATAGCCAATGGAAGAAATTTCAAGAAAATTCGACATATTTTATAAAAATTCATTAAAGGAGTATCCAGTAATAGATGTTTAAAAATGTTTAAATAAATATTTGATATGCGCTTATATACAAACTTTTTTTTTTTAGTTTAGTTAATTAAAATAAAAACGAAGATTAAATAATATGTGCGAATGTGTGTACTCTGGCGTGCTAGTGTGTGTGAGTATGTTCAGAATAGATATGCGTAACAAAAATCCAATAAAAAAATTAGAACACATGTAAATTTCATTTGCACTCGTGTATAACCGCGTTAATATTAACATAGCTATAATTTAATAAAAAAAAAAGGTATATGTCGATAAAAAAATATATATGTGTAAATTAATTTAAACTGATATACCAAACAAATTTGCCAAACACATAATGAATTCCCTTGACGACCGCGACAACTAACAATAATTAACAATTAGCAAGAAGGACGTACCCAAAAGGCCACAACTAATGTGTCACTAACCGTTAAGCATAACGAGTTTTTTTTAATTCTAACAACAACGCCAGCTCAAGAATGTACAGTATGAAATAACGTAATTTTTTACATGCCATATTATACTTCACTTTACTGGTCGAGTTCGAGTTCTATTGAGCTGTCCTATTAAATAATTGGTAACAGGTGAAAATTTTGTCATCTAACTGAATAGCAGCAAAGCAACGGTAAACCAGAAACAGAAACAGCAACAACAACTTTAACACAGCTTTTTACACAATAAAAATTCAGTTCCAAACTCGGTGACGTAGTCAAATTAAAATGAATGCGAGTCTCATGTATGAAATTCTCATGTACTTAAATTCATTTTATTTTGGTATGTATGCCGCCTTTGAGATTGGTGTCGGCGTGTTGAAGGGAGTTAACTTGCATTACGATGAAAACATATTTTTAAAGGAAGCAGGTATATTGCTAACATTATGCGTTGTGGAGACAATTCGAGTTGTGTTGGGACGCAAGTGTAGCCTGAATGATCGTGGTAAGTAACATACAATAATATTCTAAATGTTTATATAAACCTTGTATGCTTCTATTTATTTAAATGCACTATAATTAAATTTTATTTTATTTATTTGAACAAAGTGCATATAAGTATGTATTTACATATGTGTTTTAAATATAGGTTAGGGCATAGCATTGACATTCAATGTGGCAACCACATACGGTAAACAGTCTATAGTAATAGCACATTAAAATTAAACTGCAACTGTTGTTGATCAATCTGATATATCAAATGTACAATAATTAAATTTTATTTTATTTATTTGAACAAAGTGCATATAAGTATGTATTTACATTTGTGTTTTAAATATAGGTTAGGGCATAGCATTGACATTTAATGTGGCAACCACGTACGGTAAACAGCCTATTGTGATATCACATTAAAATTAAACTGCAACTGTTATTAATTGTGCAAAAAAAATATTCAGAAATTCCAAAATTGTAGTGTTAATAATATTCTCCAAATAAAATCATAAATAAATTAAAAAAACTGTTTCTGTACACCATTTTATAATTTATTTATTTTTTTTTGCAAGAAGCAACAACTATTAATCATTCAACTAACATTAATACGGAGCAGTGCCATTTTATAATTTTTAACATATACATACATACATATACAGTCAAACTTCCATAACTTGAACTTTTATAACTCGAATTTTCTAAAATTTATACTAAAGTGCAACAGGGTTTAGAGGTTTATATAGAATTACAAAAATATTCTTTAACTCGAAGTCTCCATACGTCGAACCTTTTCTTTCTTTTAGTACTTCGAGATAGGAAAGTTTGATTCTATTTATAAGAATGAATTGGACAGTTCTAATATCAAGAATTATACTATATGGGTTTTATTTGTGTATATTATTTGTAGTTATAAAATATCTTATTTATCTAAAAATATATAATCTTTATTTTAATATTATTATTATATATTATATTTCATTAAATGTAAATATTAAATATATATTCTGCATGCATATTTTTTTAAAATGGTATAACTACGTTGGATGGTTCATTGCTCCAAAAAACAAAAAAAAAATTGTGTAGATGTGATAATTCAAATTTTATAATAATTTCTATATTCTATTTTGAATTAATTAAATTCAATTTTATACTAACGGTGACAAGGATAAATCAACCTTGAATTAAAAAACCTATAAAAAAGTTCGTCGGAATAACTTAAGTTACACCGACTAAAAGCGCGCAAAATTATAGTGGTTCAAAAATATTTCATTTTTAGAAAATTTGAATTAGTTCAAGATTTTTCCAAATTTTTTATTGTTGTTTATGATGGAATAATATTTTTTTGCAAAAAGTTTTTGAAAAATAAATTTCCATCTATTGCACCGTTTCCTGGTAATCGAACTATCAAGTATATCTTCCATTCTGATTGACATACACAAACAAATTTATTTATTCATACGTTTTTAATTACAACAACATATTATTTGTACTCGTTACTACAATTCTTAGAACATTACTAAGATCCATTTTTCTTCCTTGTCACAACTCAAAGATTATTAATTATTTCAGTGGTTTTCATAGTTGTTTATACACCAGCTTAGGTGTAAACAACGCAAATCCGTGGTTTCACAAGAGATTCATTATTTGAGCTTAACTGGGCCTGGTGCACAAGGCCGCCACTGCAACCTAACCAAGTTGACACTCTTTATGGACATTTGTTGACTAATTCTCTATTAATAATCTTCCTTCTTAAGTTATTTAATTTAGCTCTCTCTTGAATCTAGCCGCAAACTACAATATTTTTTTCTTATTTCGCTTATAAATATTAATTATTTTTAGGGTCGTTCTTAGTTTGATATTCATACAGTGTAACTAATATCATTAAATATCAGTCTTATAATTATATCTTTACTAAAATGTTTATAATAAGCAAAGGCTTGACTAACGTAGTAATATTACTCGACAAGTATTTTGTTTTTGCTGCTTTGCACTTTTAATACGTTCCTCTGTTATCGAGCACGTGAATACCCTTAATATGTTTCTCATGAACTTAGTAATCGAGTATTCGTGTATGTATTCACAAATAATGAGTTGTTTTCGAAGAAGTCGGCGAAAAGCGAATGATTTATAAACATAGTCAATACGCTTAAATAAAATAAATATGTTCCACGTTTTACACAAGTAATTAGATATAAAAAACTGATATAAGAAAAAGAAAAAGCACTATTTAGCCTCGGTATCAAGAAGCATTCTAAAAGCCCCAGTTTCTACGTGTTTGAGGTTATAAGACACATTAGATTAGTGGTACCTTTTTTAAAGGCATTTTTGTTTTAATAATCTATTAAGATCTATCAATAATCTATGAAGGAGTCCTGGTTTGTAGATTGCTAATAAAAGCATTTTTTTTTAAGAATACACGACGATAATTGTCTTAATTGTGAGGTGTTACAGGACATTTCTTGAAGTGAAAAAAAAAAACTCAATGCACGAAAATTTTGTATATAGGAACTGACAAATTACAGTTTTTTTTAAATTAGGTGTGTCTCTGAATTTGTAGAAGCACCGTGTAGCAGTTCTTGTTTTTGAAAATCATGTTCGAAAATAAATTTCATTTACCTAAATCTTCATTCATCTAATCTTTTAAAAATAATTGTTTTAGACTTTTAAAAATCAATGCAATTTTTAAGGTGAAGCTTAAAATGGAAACTTAAAGCTCTTAACAGCTCTTTAATTTATTATTATTATTATTATTATTATTGTTAGGGGATGTACCCGGAACTTTATTGCTTTCGCTAAAATAAATTTTTTAATCAAAGTGTGACACGCCAAGAATCCTTATGTAGGCCAAAGTAGCTAAGCCACAAACTATATCACAGCACTTTATCCTTATTTTATTGCCAGACCATGCATTCGTATCAATTAGATCAAATACTCTTTCCTTCTTATCTTCCTTCTAGTACTATTTCATTACCTTAATCAAATCTCATCATATTTCGCTTGTTATTAGTCAGTAATGTTGTAGTCGAAGTGTACTTTATGTTTGTTTCCAAAAGTGACGGGATCTTCCAAAATGACATTCATTCATGAGTCTTTCAGTTTTTCTCTAATTTATTTAATTATTTATTATTATAAAAAATTTCACAAAATTTCTATTTGTATTGTATTTAATATATTTATTTTAATTTCTTACAGGTTGGCAAGCAATAGCATCCGTAATATTAACACTGCCCAGTCTTGCTATTGTTATATATTTATGTTGTTTTCAATCCTTCGTTCTAAAGCTCGAAATAATTCTGAGTGCCTTAATGATAGCCCTACAAGTGGCTGAACTAATCTATGCGTGTATATTCATTTGTACTATGTGTCGACCGGTAACGTATACCTAGCAGTTGATTATGAACCATCGAAATCAGCTAAAGTGCACCAAATTTTTCATATACTGATGTAGTTTGTAAATATTACTATATAAACAAATGCGAGCTCACTTGTATATAACAGAAAATTTATAAAAAAAATAAACAATAATTATAATACGAAAAGAAAATAATAGTCATACAACAAAAATCCTAAACAGAAGAAATGATAATGTCTAAGTTGCGAAAACGATTGAACTTAATTTACAAAAATTCCGTATGAATTGCGATGAAATATTTAGGTTCTGGAATCATTCTTTTGTTTAAATAAAAGTTATTACAATTGAGGTAAGTGTAAATAACAAATAACCAATAACAAATAACAAATTTATTACTGAATATATTCTGGAAATAACATTGGAATTTCACAATCTAATTTTCATTCGTTCGATTAAATCACTTTAACAGATTTTACATACAAAAGAATCTTCATTAACTAGTACTTTTTTAAAAACTTGTTATGTATAATATATATATATACAGGCTCGTTACCAGAAATGTACACTAAGGGGGAATGTTCCTCAGTTTCTCAAACCATACCTTGGCTGCAGGCCTTTATGTATATATGATATATTTTTTTGAATTTCATAATCTGGATTATGGAGTTATGATTATGTAGATATAAAATATTACAGAGCGTCTAATTCATTCATGTTCCAAATCAATATCAGAGTTCTGGGTTTTGAATCGTAATATAATTCGACATATCAGGAACTCATAATATCACTGTTATAACTTTTTCTTTATTAAAAAGCTTGATATAATAATACCAATACAAAATAAATAAATACAATATTTAGTAAAGTGCCGATATGATTAATATTCGATATTGATAATGTAGGTTTAGTTTAATGATCTTTAAAATCGACTTATTGTAGCCTATATTTCGAACTTAATATTTAAAATGACTAGGGATTTAAATATTTTCCTATTAGCTCATTAGATTTCGTCACCATTATTTAATATGTAAACGTTATTAAATAAAACCATCTTTTTGATTTAATTAATAACTCAATGTCAACACCTAATCTCACATGAAATTAATTTATGTTAAATATAGTTGTTAATGAGAGATACTCTGAATTTGGGTGCAGACTATTTTAGTCAGACAACATGTAGTTGGTGTGCATGCGCTATACGATGATAGTAAGTTTAAATTTTAAATATTAGACCAAAAGAATTCTGCGGTCCTGTATGAATCTTAAACTTAAAATTAATGAGTGGCTAGAAAAAGTAGCTCAGACTTATTGGGGTAATATAATTGTCTGCAGACAAGCTAAAGAATTCCTGCCGAATCGATCAAAAGTCAAAACTAGGGAGCTATTAATGCTGAACAGAAAAGACATCCGACTTATCACAGGGTTTTTCACTGGACATTGCGGACTCAAAAAATATCTATCGAATCTAGGTATTACAAGGGACCATAGTGGGTTTGTCAGAATAATCTTCAAAGGATGCAGTGACAGTCATAGTTCCCAACCCTTTCAAAATCTATCTATCTATCTAAGTTTAAATTTAAATTACCCTATGTTAAAAACCAAGAAAACGATTCTAGTGTCTTACAATACTTAGAGTCCATAATCGAGCATAGGTTCTATTGCTTTAAATATGTTTGTTTACTCATCCTAACAGCAGCTGGAGAGCGCTTTTACCATATTCTTGGGACTTTTCAACGAATCACTTAACGTAGTAGGATATTTGGAATATATCAGTAGACAATGAACATCTGCATTTATTTATAAAGAAGAATGAAACTAATTTTTACAAAAATATCTGAACTTATCTTAAAGCATAAATTAGACCTTTTTATAGAATTTATATTGAATTATATATAGAATAGGTACCCTTTTTAGTGTTCGTCGTTATTATAGGAATATGTAAATTAATATTGGGTGTTAACTTTAAGATAACAATATTAAAACTTAAAAAAAATTTTTATTTCTTCACTGCTTTATTAAATAAATTATATTATATTTTTCGTAAATATTGTATATCAAAAATATGTACATATTCTGTAGATCAGCGTATATTTCATTAGTTTATGTTAAAATTTTTGTTGCACCAATAAATGTTTAATTTATGACCTTTATAAACCCATAATTTATTACTGTTTTTTTTTTTAAAGTTTTATATATTATATTAGTTTAAATTAAAATTTAACAGATTGTTTATGTAGCTTAAATATCTTTAGCATTTGTTCTTTTCTTAATATATTATGTTATTTTCAATTCTTAAACAAATGAAAATTTTTATGGCTATTCGTTGACGTTGTATTTAGTATAAAAGTATGAATCACAATTCTATTTTATATTAAATTTTAAATTTAATTACCATAACTATTGTGTATATTGTTTCGATACTAACACGACAAGTCACTATTGCATCAAGATATAGACTAAATGTTGATCTTTTGTTCTCAAGGCGTGCTCGCTGCAGAATTGGTTCTGCAGAATTGGCATCTGTAATTTATAAGTTACAATATAAAAATAGCCGCTCAAATTTAACAAGGCAAAAGGTGCAAGAAAGAAATTAAAAAAGATTTTAATTAACCGAATCAAACACAAATTTATTTTAATATTGTATTATTGGAGGAATCATTAAAACAGAGTCTTAGTATTGCCCCGAATTTATGTTATGCACAATACCCCGAACAAACGGCATATATTTGAAATGTTCCAAATTATGCATCTGTAAATTCTGATATCCCTGTAAGCAGAGATTTTGTAACACCTTTGCATTTAGGAGCAGATATTATTTATAAACAATATTTTAATAAATGTGCACAAAATAGTTTGATATTAACGAATAAATGTTGAATCATGTAATATATAAACGGAAAATTTTAATAAAAATATTACATTTCTTTATTAACTTTATTTATATATAATGACCATTCTTTTTTAAAAATTCCACAATTGAATGATATATAGACACTGTCAGGAACCATAAAGATGAATGATATAGGTGCAATACTTGTTCATATTCAATTTCCAGAGATACAAAATCTACAAAAGAATCTACCAAAATATAAGTTCAAGTGCCGGGTACCAAATGGGATCAACAAAAATACCCAAAAATATGTATATATGTATTCATTTTACTTTTTACTAATTCTTAAATACTTTTTTAAAGAAAAGCCACTTAGAAGTAATAAATAAATATATATAAAATGAAATTTACAGTGTAAAGAGCAACTAAAAAATTTACAGTAGAATTCCACTCTTCTTTATTTGGTAGAGAGGTTTCAAAAAGCACTTCTTTGTTTTAATAATCATTTTGATTCTTTAATAAATATTAATAATTTTTCTATTGAAGCATAAACGGTCTGAAGACAATATTCTTACAATGTAAACTTTCTTCTTCTTCCTCTTCATCCTCTTCAGTTTCGACAAAAGTCTGAAGTTATAATAGTTGGTCTTTTAATATAAGTTCCTAGAACACAGTTTTTCCTAATCATTTCTAGTTTAGAGACAGAACAACTATTTAGTCTATATAATTGGTTTAATTGGTATCTTTTATCTTAAATGAAAATATTTAAACTGGTTTTATTTTTTTTTCCTGTATTGTTTTGGTTTCCTGCGCAACTTTCTCTTTTGTGAACTGATCTAGTAATGTTGAAGGCATACTCACACTCACACTAAAAAGAGATCATTTAACTGAGTAATAGTTAACATTCCTAAAATGAAATATTAATATTCATCTTTAAATATCATCCAAGTTAATGAATACATCACCCATTAATATTCATTATAATAATTTTTTTTTGGATCATTTAACCTTTAAATTACACCACTGTTTTAAGAATATTATCATAGTCGTGGTCACTATTTGTTTATTATTTATTTATATAATAAAATACACTCTTATATTTTCAGTTGCACTCTTGCATTCATGACCAATCGAAGTCAACGTTTAGAAATTGGGACTTTGAACAATGTTTCCACTATATGTCAGATTCTTAATTCCGTCATTACATAAAACTCTATACATTTCATTTTCATCTCGTATTAAACCAATTTATAAGATCTATATTTCTAGTTACAAAACCAACATGGGAGACACTATATCAACCCCTTGTTCCCCTTGTGTCTTATGCATAAATTTGTAGAATTTGTCCGTTTTCTTCATAAAAGAGGGTTAAAGATTAATCTCTAAGAAGTGTTTAGCATAAGAAGTGTTTATTTTACTTAGGCCCTTAAAAATTAATATCCTTTTCAATAACAAAACACAGCATAAATTTAACTAAAAATATAAACAAAAAGTATCTTCGTAAGTTGTGAACTCATTATATTCTTCTGAATGCAAGAAACGAAATAGTGGTCAGTCTAAAAATACTGTCCCGACTAGACAGACGTTTCGATGCATTTAAGTACTTAATTATTTCGCGAATTCGAAATTAATTTAATTTTCGTTGAATGTGTAAAATGTGCTCTGCTACGCTGCTATTTTCGTAGTGCATAAAATTTTATAAATAAAAAAAATTAAAAACAAAAAATGCAACTAAATAAACTTGCTATATAATGTTAATAAATTAGTTATATACGTATATGTACCTATATATGGTTGGGTACATAAATAATTTAATTACTTAAGTGATTAGTTGTAAAATTAATTAAAAATGCCACCAAAACGTGTTGTGGTACACGTGCCGAAGAAAACTAGTCCCAGTTTAGCCTACGAGGTGTTAATCTATTTAAATTCATTCTATTTTGGCATGTTCGCCTGCTGCGAACTAAGCATGGGTCTCTTGAAAGCCATCAATTTAACATATAAGGGGCATGTATTAGCTCTTGACTCTTGTGTGTTGATTGGTTTGTGTATTTTAGAGACAGTGCGCATTGTAATGGGGCGCAAAGGGTCTTTAGAAGACAAAGGTGCGTAAATATGTATATTTGTTTATAGGGAATACAGCACTTATATGATTGCACATATATTATATATAAATTATGCTCTATATTATAGATATCATACTCATTAACTGCTACAACACATTTCATAATGTGTCAGTTCTTTAATTTTTTAGTAATTAGTCTATATATATTTATTTAGAAATTTGCGTTAAAATAGTTAATAGAGACACAATACTGACCATAAATGATTACATAGATTACATAATACCTGATTATTAATAATCAGAATCGTTATGAAAATATAACAAACTTAAAGACAGTTTAAAATATAAAAAATAATAAGTATAATCTTATAAAAAAAATCTTATAAATCGAAGTTTCTTAATAGATCTATAGAAGGCGATAATTGGTTTTACTATATTTTTTATTTACCCTCAATCTTATGTATGTAATCATTTTAATGGCTTCACGTATCTTAATTTGAGACTTCATTAGATAGAAGTACAGCAGGTGATAATTGATTTTATCATGGCTTCTATTTAACCAAAATCGCATGTTTAAAATCATTTTATTATTTTATCATTTTATTATCAATAATACTGTCTTGAATGAATAATAATTTAATTTTATTTAAATTTAAAAATATTTTAACCAGGGTCCAATAAATGGCAAATGACCGAAATCTTATAATTAATGACAGATGAATATTTATCAAGCAATATATTTGGCAAGTTAAGTCACAAATATGAAAAACAATTAAAAACGAAAAAGTAAAAAATAGGCTAAGGTAGGAATAAAACTGCAGTTAGACGTTTTTGAATATACGTTCAACATTCTCGATCATAGTAACAACGGTAATATAGTGGAATTAATGCTGTGATATTTTGAGGCGCATAAAGTTAGAAGCAAGTGAATAAAACAGGCTTAACTTAAAGGTTCTGAAACCTGGTTTCACAACTTGATATCGGATACACTTTTTATTTACAAAATGACAATAATTTGAAGACTGTAATTGAGGTATCATGATATGTTTCATTTTGCCCGGTTCTTTAATTATTTTTTTGATTATTGGTGTCTTTAAAGTCACGTTGTCAATTTTAATAAAAAATTTATTTATGATGATTTTTATATATTTTTTATCCGGCTATAGGTCACTTTTTGTTAAAATTAAAATTTAATGTTTGTTTAATATAGACAAAAGAATCAAAAGCATGACATATAGATATAGATTTTATTATTATTAATTTATATTAAATATTATATATATTATATTAATATATTAAAAAATATTAAAAAAACATTGAATTTAAATTTTAACAAAAAGTGACCTATATCCGGTTAAAAAATATATACAAACCATTATTAAAAAAATATGTTGACAAATAAATTGAAAATTTGACAAATTTAATTATCGAATTATCTTTAAAGTACTTTACTTATTTTGAAGTACTATTAAAGTTATAATCTATGTCTTGAAGTTATAAGTGACCTCAGGAACTAAAACAGTCATGTATTTAAAAAGTTTTTTTATCATCACTAGCATTACTGCTGTGTTAGGGCTTAGCTTTCTAATTTCTTTTAAGTGCTATTATCATCTAGTTAGTAATAAGTCCCAGTCTGAGATGAATTTTTCAAAGCAACACTTCTTTTATAATTCTTTCGTTAACTTCACATTAGAATAATACCTTATTTTTGGTTTCTGTGGACGATTACTATCGATTTGGGTTAAGTATATAAATTGCCCATTTAAAATGTAAAATGATGTGACACTTTAGTATAATTTTTTTCTTTTTCGTTTTAGACTATCAAGCGCTACAATTGTTTAAAAAAAAACTATTCCATTTATATCCTATGTGTTGTAAAATTTTATTATATATATTTCATTGATATCTATACACATATCCGAAAAGTTCTTTTAAAACTCACAGTGATAGGTTTTTATATCTAATGTTATGTTAATGACTTTTTTGATTTGTAAATCTGATTTCATTTAGATATACTCTCGATCTGTCAAATTTTGTTGCCCAATCGAACATTTATTTTTAGAGTAATCTAATATTTTTGTAGTAGTGTTAGTAGACATCTATATTTTTCATTAATACATATATCGAATTAAATCACACTTTATCTGTTAAACCATATAAAACAGCTGTTAATTTCAGGCTAGAATAGATTATGAAAGGGTTTGGAACTTGTCACCGCGTTAGTGCATCCTTTGAGGATTATTGTGACACACCCACTTTAGTGCTATAAACGAGTAGCAGTTAAGAACGCCATTATGTCCTTTTTGAAGAGATGTTGCCTAATTCCGTTATAAGTGGATAGGCAGCTAATAAGTGCCGAAATCTGAATCTGGTGAGACTATCACAATGACACAGAATATATTCTGCTGTTTCCTCTTCTTCATAACAAAGTTTGCAGCAATCGTCTCTAGTAATACGAGATTCGATAGATATTTTTTAACTCCGTAATGCCTAGTGAGAAACCCTGTGACAAGTTGGATGCCACTTCTGTTCAGCATTAGTAGCTCTCTAATTCTCGTTTTTGATCGCTTCAGTATGGATTTTTTTAGCTTGTTTGCAGGCAATTGTATTAATTTCAGGCTAATTTGTTACTATGGAAAAATATCTAGAGTGTTATTAGGTAATCTCGAGTGTTACACATTTTGCCCTAGACGTACCAATCGAAATTAAAAACTGCACTAAAAGTGTATTTTGATTGAAAAAATTAACCCAGATTTATCAATCGTAAACACTATAAGTCTATAAACGAATAACTTCTAACTTTCATACATTTAATTATTTTTCTATTTACAGGCTGGCAAGTTATATTATCGGTTTTCATGATAGCTCCATGCTTTCTTGGCGTCTCCTATATTCTCCTTTTACAGGAATATAAACTGCGTTTGGAATATGTGCTTTGTACATTACTGCTCGGATTGTATTTTGCCGAAGTTTGGTACGCGATACTATTCGTTTTTTCACTATGTCGTCCAGTAACTTATGATTAGAACTAAAATTTATATATACTATATGTAATATAAATTTTGTAAAATAATTTTCAAATATTATATATTATATAAGAGAAAACAACAACACAAGTAACTAATAAAAAATAGCAATATAAATATTTTTAATTCAAAACAAATTTAAAAATTTTGTAAAAATAGATTATGAGGATGAACATTTTGTGTATGTATAATTCTAAATAAATGAAAAAATTATTATAATTATTATTATATATATATTAATGAATACTAAATGAATAATGTTAACATAAGAATCAATTGGAACCAATATAAGACAACACAAAAATATTTCTCAGACTTCTTAAGACAATTTTTTTGTAAAACATTTAAAAGTTATGAAATATATATATATATAAAAAAAAATAATTTGAAAAAAATGGATTAATTATGTATATTATATATTTTCTGCGTAAATGATTATGAATTGTTTAGTTATATATATTAATTATTATGTTTTTGAATTTTTACACTTAGTGTCTTAAACTAATTTTCTCGCACAATTAATTGAATAAAATAAATATAAATAAATTTTTAAACTATGTAAAACAGAATTAAAATGAAATGAGAAAACTTAAAGTTCATATTGCATACTAAAAAAAATACTAATTTTGTAAAATCCTATATACTAAGAAAATAAATATACACTTAATAAACTGTAAATTATAGTGAAATTAAATCTGTAAATGTACTTTAGAATGGTGGTTCTATTCGGCATAACTGCTGAAGGATCTAACTCGCATGTGTTCTATACAAGCTACTTTTGACAAGCTACTTCAATAGAACAAATATAAAAATAAATAATTAAATCAAATATAATACAAATATTTATATGAAATATGTTTCCTTCGGATGTATGCACATTTCAGTGAAGTTTTAAAAGGCCAAAGAAGGGCAGAAGCTATTACCGGAGCTCAACCCTTACAATATAGTTCCCAATATAAAACCGTCGGAGTACTCATATCTGCCTATGTTACCGGTTTTGCCAATTCTACATAACAAATGTAAAATCTCGAAAAACAAAAAGATTTATATAAATTAAATTTTTATTAGTTTTAAGCAAAATAATTCGTTTTATATTAAACAAATATTGCGTACACGTGTTTTAATAAAATTTAACTGAACTTAATCAATTCGAAAACCCGAGCCCCCCATACATTTTATATGTATATACCAATATATGTATAAATATATTAGTATACATGCAAAAAACATATAAAAAAAATTAATCCCTAGATAAATTGTTCGATTTATAATTAGTAAAATTTTGTAATTTATATACCGACGTTTATATTTTTGTTATTTATATATATACAAACCACAAACATATATATATAAGATCGTTATCTCGTTGAATTTAAATTATAGCAGGACACTTAGACCTGTGAAAATATTAAATATTTTTAGTTAATATTTATAACAATTATTATATTTATTATAATTATTATTATGAAAACGAAATTTGAGTTGAAATAAAATAAAATTAATTATGAATCCTTAATATATGATTTACTATATAGTTGTTAAGTTATTTCATTTAAACATAAAAATTGTTTGACTCGATATTAAAAATTGGTAAGTAAAACAAACATTATTAATAAATCGGATGGTTAAATGCTCCAAAAACGGCCGGATCTACGTCCCGGAGCCATTTGTTCCGTTCAATACCTCCCAAATAAACTTCACAAGCAGGTCCCAGCGGGTTACAACAACAATAAATCAGCTTTAAAATAATTAAGAGTTCCGGAAGTGTTCGTTTTTTATTGGAAGGTGTGATTTGTATTTGATAAAAGTTATTTTCATATATCTTCTCAACAAATCAGGATGATCTTGAACAGCGTGATTGTAGATTATAAATGTCAGACTACGATTGAATAGAAATAAACAATCATAGTTTATTATAAATATGTCTTAACATAATGTAAAATTTTGTACATTTCTAATGTTGACTTCAAATTAAAATATTAAAATCTATTTTAAACCTAAATTTGATTATGTTTTCTCTAATGCAACTTGAGTTTCTTTAAATAATGTAGTTTTTCCTTTATTACCACCTTATTAATATCTTACATTGACAGTTTAGCTTAAGTTTATGATTAGTCATCACCATATTTTTGTGATTTACCTAAACTTTATTCATATCTCCATTTCTGTTTGATATATAAAATAATATAGGTCAGATCGATATAAGATAGATCATGTAGTAAGAAGTTGTAGACTTGTTATTACATCAATGAAAAACGAGGAAAACGTAAAAAAAATGGGATAGCAGTATGCGGAAAAATCTTAGAGGGGTCAATATCAATTACTGGAAAGCAAATGCAAGAAAAGAGAGAAGAATGGAAGAACTTGGTGAAATAAATTTAAGTACTAAATAGATTGTATAGCAGTGATGATGATGATGATGATGATGATGATGATGACATATGTATGTATACTTGATAACAATTTATATGTAGTAATAGGTTTAGTGAACTGACAAAACTATGCATTCGATCATCTAATACTACTATTAATAGCTTATTCTTATACTATGAGAAGATCTCTGAAGATCAAGACTTCGAACCGGAAACTTTTTCGTACCGATTTAAGTTCTGATTTAAATAAAAATTATATAATTTGATTCCGTTTTTTGGATTAGTTTCGTTTGTTTATTTTTTATGAATATGTTATAAAGATATTAGGATTATTAAGAAAAAAAAACATAGTTCTATGTTTAAAAATAAAAACAGATTTTAAACTTTTCACTATTATTCATTAAAGCTTCTCCAATTGAGTTGTTATGTGCATTAATAAAGAGGTATTGAACTCTTCTGAATTCAAGTACACCTACATACTCTTTTAGTTTTCAATTATGATTTTTAGTTCAACAAAAAATAGCGGATTTTACTTTAGTTCCCATTTGAAGCCCTGCTGTAGATAAAACTAAAAAGTTATGAGTTACAATGTACTTTAGTTCAATCTCATGAAATAAGAAATTACTGCACAGTAATCCTATTTTTTTTTTAAAGTATAGATTCTTAATGAAAAATTTCGCTCTCTTCTTATTAGACCTATCTAAACGACCTGCCTTCATTCTTCATTCATTCTACTTGTTTTGCTGATGTCTTCCAGTTAACGATGTTAAAGATTCTAGCGTTGTCATAATCATTGCGTGACGATTTTGGTCTATTTCATTATTCGGTTGTCATCATTTCAAGATTAAAAATGATATTTAAATAATTTTTTCGCTTCCATTTTTTCAATACAAGATGCCCAAGTTTTGTGATTTAACAAGACTTACAATTCATATGTAGTTTTGTAGTAACATTATCGATTTCTTCAATAAGTTCAAACAGTTCTATAGCAATTGAACCCGGCTCACATATATGGTTCACAGATGGATCAAACTTAGAAAACGGTAGGCCACGGACAGAAATATATGGCTCTAGATTTGAAAAATCAAGTTCAATGGGTATTTATCCAATAGTTTTTTAGGCAGAAATATATGCTACTGATATATATGTAAGGAAATGTCTTCGTAGGAAGATAAAACAAATTCACTTTAGCATGCTTTTGGTTGCGAAGACACATTAAGAGCCCTCCAAACTGTAAGGATACGTGAGCGAATATCAACGTTGTAGTGTTAAAATAAGTTTCAGGACATGAAGGCAATGAAATAGCTGATTACCTAGCCAACAAAGCAGTCATTTTGCCCTTAATTGACGTTACGTCTTTCTATGTACTCAGAAAAAGCAACCTAAATGAGATCATTACGAAATGAGAAGAGTAACAATTTGTAGACCACTGCTTAATAGCGCCACCGTCAAGTGAAGCAATTTCTTATCTTAGTAAAGGAAATATCAAGTAAGATACTTTCGCTAATTAGAGTAGTCTCAAAGATTATGGTTATTACAACTCATTACAACTTGAGATTTCTCAAAAATTAGTTGGGGATTTGCCACTTAGGTGGTATTGTTATGCCTTCATATAAGTTATGGAACAATAAGCCCTACAGCGTACAAAAATTTATAAAAAGCACCGTTGACACCGACTGGACATGTTTCTGTAAAAAAATATTATTTTTAAGTGCAATGAATATTAAGGAATAAAAAATTACCAATATATGAAAATATAAGTTGTAAGAAAAAAAAATTAAACATTATTTTGTAAACAAATAAAAAGCTGACAAATTTGATGCAATACCAATTATTTTTATTGTGATCCGTATCATTTCCGCAAAGAAGATCCAAATCATTCTATTCTACCTTGGATTATAATGTAATATAATATAATCCACACAACTAATATATAAAATAAGGACTTTTCCTTATTCAACGTAGCGAGATTTATCAAAGTCGTTACTGTTTTAATTATGTTCGGTATAAAAATAATTTGTTAGAAATTTAGAAAACAAATAGAGATAAAAAAATATACAATATTGTACAATATTCTAAAATATTAGTTTTGTTCTACTTTAAAATAGTAAAATATTTGATGAAATTTATTTATATTACAAACCATAGCATTCAATATACATAATTGAAAATTATGTGGAACATAATGCCTTAACGATAGATACATCTATTGAGTTCCACAACATAAACGAGTACCACAAAACAAAAATTGGTAGCACTATAAACTGTCAGTTTGTGATCCACATTCCTGATCAGATTGATGTTATTGTTTTGTTTCCCGCCAAATAAACACAATTCGGATTATATGCATAACTCCGTGAAGATTTTAATTCATTTAATAAAAATAATATAAACAGCTTAAATAATTTAAAAATAAGATGAGTGATTCTCCATGTAAGTAACAAAGCAGTAAATATATTTCAAATGTTTTTGTATTTCGTAACAAATAAATTGCAGCTGAGCCACGAGCAAAACGAGCGCGCGTTGATAAAGGCGGACGCATTGCTGCCTTCGAGAAATTAAAAAAATTAAAAGGTAATAAACATAAATATGAAGTATCAGAAGAAGTGGATAATGTATATGAAATTGTTGATGAACGTGAGTATGTAAAAAAGGCTAAGGAACGCTATGGAGACGGTTGGATTGAAGAAGGTTAGTGCTTAATGGCATTTGTATAGGTAATAATTTACTATACAATATTATTAATATAGATGGCACTGGTTATGCAGAGGATGGACGTGATTTTTTCGAAGATGAGGATTATTCTGATGAAGAAGGTCAAAGCAGTAAAAATATTAAAAAGGGTGGCAAAAAACGGTTACGAGATGGCGATAAACCAGCAAAAGGAAAGGCCTCAATACGTAACTTATTTAGCAATGCTGTGCCCAGAAAATTAGCTGCTGTTTCATTAAAAGATGATAACATATTAGCAGACATTTTAGGAGAAATTGAACAACCTGGCGTTAGTACCAATTCAACTACTACTCCTATAAATGATGTTAGACCAACAAAAATTATAGCGCCAGCAAAAATTGTCAGCAATATTACAAAAAAATCTGAGGCTGCAGCAGCCAAAGAATACATGGCTAGTTTTATAAATAACATAAAAGCACCAGAGAAACCCAAAAAAACCGAAGAAACAAGTGATGATGAATTATTAAACAGAGTTTTAAAACCTAAGTCAATGGAAGAAAATCGTAAAACAGCACATATACCAAAGAAGAATGTGGAAATTACGGCTAAAACGTTAGAAGTAAGAGCAGAAGCAGAGAAAAATGCGTCTCCAGCTAAAGTAATGCTTAAAAAAGATGAAATTTCTGCTAAAGAAAAAAGTGAAAAGTCAAATAATGAAGCTGACAATTTCGCAAATGATGATATGGATTTCAGCTGTTTGCATGATGAAGAAAATCAATTTGAGGAAGAAATTAGTCAAACAGTACCGGAAACACCTAAACCTATCAAAAAGCCAGTCGTTAATGAAGTTGAAGATATGCATAATTTACTAAGCAATTGGGAGAGTATATGCCAGATGGATGATTTTGAAGAAGAAAAAAATTCTACAAATGTTGCGCTGGCGCAAGATAATCTGAAATTTTGGTTTTGGGAAGCTTGGGAAGATGCAATAAAACTTCCTGGTGAAGTATTTCTGTTTGGCCGTATGGCAGATGGAAAATCTATATGCGTACGTGTAGAAAAGATTGATCGTGTGTTATATTTGTTGCCCAGGGAATATGTAAGCCAATAATACGTTACTTTTATTATTTATGTAAAAGTGATAATTTTAAAATGATTTATTTTAGTTATTGGATCCCATTTCAAAAGAGCCAACAAGACAAAAAGTGACCACTGCGGATATGTATAAAGAATTTGATGAGGATATTTCAAATAGTTTGAAACTAGATACATTTCGTTCTCGCAAAGTAACAAAAAATTTTGCATACCATTCAATTGGCATTGATGTGCCGCAAGTTTGTGATTATCTGGAGGTTGGTATAGTTATTTACTATCACATATTTATCAATATACTTTATTTACCAATAAATGTTTTTAGGTACAATATGATGGCAAGAAACCAGCGCCAAATATTAAAAAGAAGTTTAATTCTATAGCGCATATATTTGGTGTCAATACTACAGCTCTGGAACGTTTCTTGTTAGGTCGCAAAATCAAAGGACCTTGCTGGTTAACGTTAAAACAATTTAAAGTCAACACGGTACCAATAAGTTGGTGTAAGACTGATGTCATTGTTAGTGATCAAAAATTTGTTATGGTTTCTGAAGATGCTAAACCAGCACCACCACCACCGTTAACTTTGCTCGCTTTGAATGTGCGCACATCGTTAAACCCAAAAACACTGAAAAATGAAATCTGTATGATTTCCATGCTGGTAAATAATAATTTTCACATAGACAAACCAGCACCGCAACCAGCATTCAATAGACATATGTGTGGCATAACTAGACCCGCAACTAAAATTTGGCCCTTTGATTTAAAATTAAAACTATTAAATTTTAAATCAACACGTGTGTTTAAAAATGATTCAGAACATGCACTTTTAAACTGGTTCTTAGCACAATACCAACAAATCGATGCGGATTTGATTGTAACATATGATGCCTTGGATTGTCAACTGGACGTTATAACAGATCGTATAAATACTTTGAAAACTACACAATGGTCACGTATTGGTCGCTTACGTAAGTCACAATACACCGGGAAGAGAGTTACAGATTACTTTATTGGACGCATGGTATGCGATGTAAAACACTCTGCAGAGGAATGTATACGTTCGAGATCTTATGATTTACAAACTTTATGTCAAAATGTACTAAAAATCAAGGATAATGAACGTATGGATGTAAATCATGAGGATCTGCTAGATTTTTATGATACTGGTATGAATCAAATTTTCTATATGATTATTTATGTATTTTTAAGTGTAAAAAGGTATATTCTGTTTGTAAACGCTTGGTTAAGTTAGGTTGAAGTGACGGCCTTGTGCCCAAAGCAAACTTGGTGGGAGCAACACCAATAGACACCTACCATTTAGGTGAAAGTTAACAAATCCGACAACTCTATGAACTTGGTCAAATACCCTAATTTTGCAGTATGATAGTTCTGTCAGGGAGTACAGCTTCCTCCTTATCCGCAGAGCACTACGGTATCTGTCCCGATAGGTCACTGCGTACTAGGCAGACATTTTATGAGAATGGAGATATATTTATCAGTTATTACAATATAAAAATATCTAGGCATAGCAGAAGAAACTTGGGGAGATAAACTCTCCTGTTAGATCTCAAGATCCGTCTGCTCCAAATAGGACAAGAAAGGTACCTCATTTATCACTAGATCAACATAAACATTGGAACTAGGTTTTTTTATTGTTTAAGAAGCAATTTAGTGAACACGTTTTCTGCAGTTGCTCAACTTTAGCTAGAATCAGGGCGAACTATTAGGCAAACATAGCTTAAGTTCTCTAATAGCGGTGTCCAGCGCTAAGATTAAAATTATCTTGCGCAATATAAGAACCTCAAGATAGTTCTATAACTACAACAGTGAAATTGCTATGCTAAGCAGTGGTGTCAAAAAGGACCAAAAGGGTCTAAGTGTGTAATTCAACTAGGGCAACTGCCATATTAACCTAAGCTAATCTTATAAAATAATTTATCTAAAATTACCTAAATCAGAACAAATTTGTATATAATACTTACCTAATTTAGTGATTGTGGTAGAACTGATTGAGAAAATGTGATTAATTTTTTTTTGACTCAATTCAGGCGATGGTGTTTTGAAGCTGATATCACTAACTATGCAGGATGCTTCATACGTTTTGCGTTTAATGTGTGAACTTAATATAATGCCACTAGCGCTGCAAATAACAAATATTTGTGGTAATACAATGACCCGTACCTTGCAAAGCGGACGTTCGGATCGCAATGAGTTTTTGCTACTACATGCATTTACTGAAAAAAATTATATCGTACCAGATAAAAAACAACGTGAGTGGGGTGATCGAAATATCAACACAGTTGATGGTGACACCACAAACGATGTCACTACAGCTACTACAAATACAACTGGACGTAAGAAAGCCGCTTATTCTGGTGGTTTGGTATTAGATCCAATACGTGGTCTATACGATAAATATGTGTTGTTAATGGATTTTAATTCTCTATACCCAAGCATTATACAGGAATATAATATATGCTTTACAACTATCCAGCAACCATATTCACCTGATGAACTACCACAACTGCCTGATGGCAATGTGGAACAAGGTATATTACCACAACAATTACGTCGCTTAGTTGAATCAAGGCGAGAAGTTAAAAAGCTTATGGCTGCACCTGATCTTTCACCGGAATTGCAAATGCAATATCACATTAGACAGATGGCACTTAAACTTACTGCAAACTCAATGTATGGATGTTTGGGTTTTGGGCAATCACGTTTCTTTGCGCAGCATTTGGCAGCTTTAGTTACATATAAGGGACGTGAAATTTTAACAAACACAAAAAGTTTGGTTCAAAAACTGAATTATGAGGTCGTTTACGGTGATACAGATTCTATAATGGTTAATACAAATATACTAGACTACGAGCAAGTGTTCAAAATTGGTCATAACATAAAGCAGAGCGTTAACAAAATGTATAAGCAAGTGGAGTTGGATATTGATGGTGTATTCAGTTGCCTGCTGTTGTTAAAGAAGAAAAAATATGCTGCGGTCAAAGTTACAAAAACTTCAAAAGGTTTGCCTTTTTAAAATCATAAATTAATTAATTTTTTAATAATATTTTAATCATTGTTTCTTCTATAGGTGAAATTAAAAAGGAACAGGAACACAAAGGTCTTGAAATAGTACGGCGTGATTGGTCACAGTTAGCCATAATGGTTGGTAAAGTAGTGTTGGATGAAGTGCTGTCAGAAAAGCAATTAGATGAAAAATTAGATGCTGTACACGCACACTTGGAAAAAGTTAAAACACAAGTATTGGAAGGAGCAGTTCCATATCCAATGTTTCTTATAACCAAACAGCTTTCGAAAGCTCCTGCTGAGTTTAATAATACCTCATCACAGCCACATGTGCAGGTTGCATTACGTATGAATACTACGCGCAATCGACGATATAAAAAAGGTGATATGGTTAACTATATTATTTGCAATGATGGCACCTCAAATCCTGCAACACAACGTGCTTACCATATGGATGAGTTGAAATCAAGTGAAACATTGAAAATTGATACAAATTATTATCTAGCACATCAAATACATCCAGTAGTAACACGTATGGTAGATGTACTAGAAGGTACTGATGCAAGCCGCATAGCCGATTGCTTAGGTTTAGACCCCACCAAATATAGAGCTGCAGTGCAAAGGTGAGTTGCTAGTATAATGCACTTATTGTTATTATGACATTTTTATAAATATTTTCCTTATTATGTTGGAAACTATAAATTTAAAAATGAAATAGGTTTTGTTGTTATAATACACCTGTTGTTGCCATAATAAGAATACCATGGAGTCTTAAAAAGTGCTCTAAATATTAAAGTCTACAAATTAATAACAATGAACAGTCTTTTATCTTCTATAAGGATTGTAATAATTCTTGTTCTGTGTGAAACTTCATCCATATCTATTTATTTATTATTTATAAGCATAAATATATTTATAAGAAATTAATAGGACACAGTGTAAAGTTATTGAAGAGCACAGCAGTTGCTGGTAGATATAGTAATGGAAATAAAAGTGGTATTAGGTCTAACCCAAACGAGGTTCATAAACGTTACACGGTAATGTGTAACTATGCAAAAAACAAAGAAACTCAAGCAGTTAAAAACCAGAAATGATATATGCTCTATTTTAAATGTTTACAATCCTTCTGAAAAACAAAACTCCTTTTCGACTAGAAAAAAAAAAAATGACAAAAGATTACTGTTAGCGGTAGACTCTTTCGAGTCTACGTCCCAAAACCACTGTTGTTATTGTTATAAACTAAGGGGACTAGTACCCTGGTGAGTGCATTACAGTGTAAAGCCGAAGATATCTGGCTGTAACCAGATATGTAGCATCCAATTTGGATATTCGAGATGTCGTTTTACAAAATGCTGAGATGGAGCTGTAATATTTGCGGAAACCATGTCGATGGCGAAGCAAAGTGAATTCTTGAGTATATCTGTTTAATATTGAAAGACTCTAGAACACTGACTACTAAAGATAGCAGTGAGATCGGCCTATAAGATTCGTACTTTCCCGCTAGTTTGTTCGGCTGAGGGATGATTCTACTAGTCTCCCAATTGTTTGAAGATTGTTTGATGATGTGTAAGTTAAGTTAAGTGTTCAAAGTATAAAATTAAACTGAGAGACTAAGGCTACAGAAATATTTAAATATGAACATTAAAATGCCATCTAAGTAGTTTAAAGTTACCAAAGTCTTTCAGTATCAGTCATATTGCTCAATTCGTCAGGTGAACTCAATGTCAATCAATGAATTCCAATGAAAAGCACTTGTTTGCATATCTCATGGGAAACATAAGCATTATGCATAAGTCAGTGGATCCAATTCTTTTTTGAAATGGCAAAGTACCACTTTCTACTCCCAAAACAGTTTATAACAACACAACTGATGTCTTATATTTAATTATAACAGTAGTAACATTATATGTAACACATTTATATTTATTTAATTTTGTTTCAATTTGCAGATCGAATGAGGAGCATTCAGAGAACGCCACTGGTGAATCGCTTGTCAAAACCACATTGCAAAAATATCGTGAATGTGAGAAATTCAAATTTACTTGTATTTCTTGCAAAACAGAAAATATTGTTGCTGCTGCTTTTAAACCTTCTGCCACTCGAGGCTATGAAGCCATACTACAAAATTGTGTCAACACTGAATGCAACGCTTGTCCATATCAGTACGTTGTGTCAATACGAAATAAGCTATTACTCAGCATGCGTAGCCATATAAAAAGATTTTACCAGAATTGGTTAGTTTGTGATGATCCATCTTGTAATCAAAATACACGCAACTATTCACACGTGACATCGAGATATCGACCAGTATGTTTGCAGTGCAAAAATGGCTCCATGATACGACAATATTCTGAAAGAGATCTATTTAATCAGTTAAGCTACTTTCAATATATGTTTGATCTGCAGAAATATCAGCATAAAAGTAAGCGAAATAGACTTGATATATCTTGTATTTAATATTAATAATATACTTTTTCTTTTTCTAGATGTCTCTTTAACGCCTGAAATTGAGCAAGCATATCGTGTGCTACGTGAAACTGTTGATCAGCAGCTGGAGAAATCTGCCTATTGTACTATATCCATGGCGAATTTGTTTTCAGGCATTAAATCATTGGAAACAAGTGATGAAATTTCACATAAAAAAATTATCTTACCATCTGCGCCGATAGCTATGAGTTTAGATGACGAGTAAAATCAATTTTATTTATATATATATATATTATTATCATATGGCTTTTACTGAGGTAATGATTTTAATTTTATTTAATTTTTATGTTTTACAATATTACAGTGAAATATATTTAAATTTTACTTTATAATTTTATGTATAAAATTGTATAATTTTTAAAATATTTATGTTTAAAATGAAATGATGATTATATACTATATAAAAAGTAACCTAAATTATTAAATAAAAAACAGTAGCACGACTAACATTTAAAAAAAAATATGATCAGAAATATTCTAAAATTTATCTAAAGTATAATGAAGGGGCCATCTTGAATAACTTTCAAGATGGCCCCTTTGAGTTGTTATGGAACTCAAGGATCATGAAACAAAATTTATTATTATATAGATAATTTCTTTATATGACTATATCTAATGTCTTATATATCTTTATTTGAATTTCATATTAAATAATAATTAAAAGAATAATTAGTAGTGACAGGCACACCAAATACAAATGGAATTTCTTGATTGATCTTATGATTCAGTTAAACTGATTTCTAATTGAGTTCATTCTAATTAAAGAGATTAGTGTTTCAAGTATTCGACCTACAAGGTGCTAGCACCTTGAAACCCGACTATGTTTGTATCCGAGCAATAGGCTTGAGTACAGCGAGCTGCTTGATAATTATCATACACCACATAGATCGTTTTTTTATAAAAAACGACATAGATCGTTATGGTAGGAATTATGATTTAACAAATTCTCTTTTAATTATTGTTCTATGCAATGGGTCTGATCATCATGTTGGTAGCCTGTTGATATTCAAAATACTGTTAATAAATCTGTTGATTTGTATGTAATCAATTCTTATTAGAATCAGATTTATATATTATTAAAAAAAATATGTCTTTAAAGCTATAAGAGCAAATTCAATATTTTAAATATGGATTGAACGTTTAATACTATAGGTGATATAGGTGGTATAATGAATATACATGAACTTGTTTAATTATTCTCTTTGAGTTTTTAACACTCATATGTTTTACAATAAAACTAAAAGCACCTTTAACGTATTTATATATATAAATTACACTACATTATTTGTTCTATACTATTTACTATGAACTTAAAAATTTTTCTATTGGAAAATGTCTAAATGATTCATTGAATATATCCGTAAATGCTGTACTGACAAGTTCATTTATGAATGGTTTTATAAAAGGAAATCCAATCGGCCACATACTATTTATAATGCCGTCTGCGAAATTATTCAGATTATCTCGCCCTTGTACTATGAAGTTTGTAATGTGCATTTTCAATCCTCCAATATGCTCAATTTCCACATGAACCTTGAGCAACGAACCAGGTCCAGCTATGCGGCGTATACTTGTAGTTTGACTAAAAATAAATAATAAATTGTTATAGATTATTTCAAATACATATATATGTTTTTTACAAATTATTTTTATTCAACACATATTTTCCAAAGAAAATAAGCAATAGTAAGTTATATGATGAGTTATATCATTATATAGCTACGAGGTTAGTTTTAGTGTATTTCAGTCGATTAAAAAATAAATATAACTACTACTTTTAAAGTTATCTTTAAAGATAAGTTAAAGAGTTTTAGGATCCATTTAGAGTTATTCGTTTTTTTCAGTTGTCTCTCCAATTAGTCTAAGAAAATAAATTTCCCTCACATTTGTCTACAATTGGTTGCTTTCCAATTTGAGCGGTCAGCTTATAGTTTCCGTCATCTCTGTTGATTCCCAGTTTCGTATATATCGATAACTATTACAGTAGGCGAACCACATATACTACAGAGCAATGTTTTCATCTTCACTAAAAGGAATATCTTCTTTGCTAGTGTATTTTCATAGCAATAGATTTTCTATTTCTGATCTGTACTCACTTCTCAGTTATACACATTATGACAATATATTTTGGATAAATTTTTTTACTACATACAAAAATCTGGGACCCTACTGGTTTCCAATTGTTCGATGTTGCAATGTACCTAATCCTAAGTGAGACTAGATTCAGCCCGTTAACACTTGCTGGACCAGCCAAACATGGGTTCGCTACCGGCCGATATATCAAGGTACCTTATTTAAAGTGACACTAGATTTAGTAGTTCTATACTTTCTGGGCCATCGAAAACTAGTGGAACCGTTTGAAGGTGCTTATGCACGTTTTTATTCAAGTTAAAACTACCAAACAGCGTTTCAACCTGTTTTAAATGTGCAAATATGTTCTATTCATAATATAATTATTGATATTAATATCATTGATATTACGTACCTATAATCGTAGAGTGTCATATTCCAGTATCCCTTACGTTTCAATGGTGTACCAAGCATTTTACTTGAAAATTCATATAAACCTTCTAAGCTTTTTTCAGGAAAATATTGCGTATATATAATCTGTTGATTTTCTTTATCTGAATGGTATTTTGTTACTTCGGATTTTGTCCAACCATATTCAGAGACATTTCGTAAAATAAGTTTAAAACCTCCTAAACCTTTTTGGTCTCCCCGCCTCAGCTCAATGAAAGATGCATAATGTGGATCAAATGGTGATATGCTATATTCTGGTACACCTACAATACACGGTAGAGATATTTTATAATATCGCAGAGCACTAATTCGTACTTGAAGTCGTCACACCTACCTGTGGGGAAATAAGCACGTAAATCGTTAAACGCATCTCGCATGCAATCATCGAAACCATCACTATCGCTCTTGCATTTGCCCAATATTCTGTGGAAGTCATCGTCAACGGAAACTTGACCTTCAGCTTTAACGGCGGCTTTGGTAATGAAAATGATTGCTGCTAGCATTGGCAAAAGGTAGCCGCACAACTTGTTGTCCATTGAAGACACCATAACTGCTGCTGAAACGTACTGCGTGTGATCGCTGTGACTGCGTTGCTTGCCGTGCGCTTTGTTTTAATTGTGGTTTGATGTGATTGAGATCGCCAACTTGTCTTCGCGTTTGTCTCAATTTGACATTAGAAGTTGTTAAAATGAACTGCAAACAATCAAATTTGAATTTATCTTGCCAAACATTTAATTTTCTTTTAAAATGCAATTATGAATTATTTCAAAATATTTCTGTTTTATTGCCTCTTTTGTTACGTCTGTTACATCTTTTTTTGGTTTGATAATTAATAAAACAATGTTAAACATTTATTAACAAAACCTTTAAAGGCAATTTAAAATAATTAATTCATTATTAAATGCAATGTCTTTTTTTAAACGTTTGTCAAAAATAAAAATTTCGAGATAAATCATTTCGAGGTAGAATAAAATTGATCCTAACGAAAAAAAACATTGTGAATTCTTTATAAGATCTTTGATAGTCAACTTATATCATATATTAACAGTTTATACTTTAAAATAACTAAGCTATTACAATTTTAAGAGGAAATTTACTCCACAAAATATGACTGTTACTACCTATTACTAGGTAGATCAATCTAATGTCTATAGAAATACTAATATATGCTGAACATATAATATCTACGTAGAGAAAGTGTTTGCTGATACAACCATTGAACAGCATTAAAACAAAAAAAAATATACAGTATTCCCCGCCTATAACACGATAGATTAGTTTCATGTTACAGGATAGCGTGTTGTACGAGAATGCTCATACGACCCCGTATAACGCGTTATGTATAATAGATTTGTATTTAACTTTTCTCGTTAACGGGTGCTTAAATCGAATATTAAAGAAAAACTATGTTATGAACGGAATATATGCGTTTTAATAAAATCAAACTAAGAAATTGTTTATGAAATCTACAAATTATAAAAATTTCACAGTACATAAATATAACCTGGGAAATTCCCACCTTATATACGGGAAAACACGTGTTATATGAGGGATTTGAAATCGCATAATATATAAACGCGTTATATGAGTGACGTGTTATAAGCGGCATTACAGTATATAAATATAAATAGAATTTGTGGTGAAAGTGTTACAGTTGAAATAAGACTCAAAAACTATCTATTGGTCAAGTCTAGTTGGTCCTTAAATTATAAGTGGCATCTGTTCGTGGTTGGCAAGTCATGGCAGAACGTAAGCCAGGTCGCTCCTGGGACACACCGAATTTTCACCGATCAAAAGTAATAGAGTAATTAACGAGTCTACAACAAGAACAAAAAAACATTTCGGTTGAAACCAAACCAACTTTTGGTAAAATCTTTGTGGACGTATAAAACTGATTTCACAGATAAAAACATCAAAATCTAGAGAATTAGTTTAATATAAAACTTAATGCTATCTACAAATAGGTAATGATAGCAATAATAATAAGGGGTTCAAAGAACAACCGGGTCTATGTCCCGGAGACACTTGTGAATCTTGACATCCAAGTGCCGTTCATGAACCCCAAAGGGATTTTACAGCAGATCCCGTGGGCTACCACAACAATAACATAATAAGGAATAAAAATTTTAAAATATTATTATTCTTAAGGATGCTATAAAATATTTTTAGTTCGATTTTTTGTGTGCTTTTAATCTCAGTTTCTTAAAGAATTTTGTAGTTGTTTTAGTAATGACTTTTCTACTCCATATTGTTTGAGGTCCGCACAGGTCCGTTTAGAAGAAAGGTGATGTAAATATATAGAACAAATGCAAAGTATGACGCATAGTCCGGTAATAAAATGAATTTATTTTCTCGATTTTCAGTTTTATTTTTTCAATCAACCCACTTATTCTTCTTGCTCTACTTTCACAATGCCACAACAAATATTGTATAGACTGTCCGTTTTGAATTTCTGAAATAGTTGTATAGTAATTGTCAAAAAATCTATCTTTCGATTGTTTTGTGTTTTTTTTCCATAGATAGGTTTTCCTCACTCATTTTTCGAATTGATTTCCCGGACACACCTATTCGTCAATGAATTTCTAAAATTGACAGTTATTTTGGTTAAGGTCAATATTGCTTAGTTTCCGAGCTAGATAGATAAAGTAGAAAATTTCTAAATAAAAACATTTACAAAAAATATATTTGTCATCTGGTGGGTCTACGTGGAGTTAATCGTTATTTCGTGTAATCAATCTATTTTTTTCTGCTAATTGGGTGTGGTGGTGACTTTAGAACTTTAAGTCTCACAAAGTTGTAAGAACGAGTGTATTGACATACAGCATAGTGCGAAAAGTTACTTTAACTAAGTAATACTACCAAAATACAAATCCGTTATCAAATGCGTGAGTTCTCGAAATTGGAATCGCGCCGATTCTTCTTATACTTATACGACCTGAAATGTTATGTAATATTTATTTTTTCTTACGAAAATATTTTTATTAACGTTTATCGATTTTTATTTAATAACTAATAATTGGTTGGTTAGTTCAGGTGATGGTAGAACCAAGTAGTATATAAGTGCCGTTTTATTACCACCCAACCGGAGATATATAAAATGAGATTTGTCAATTGATTGGATAAATTCTTAATAAATAATGCTTTTACAAACAGAATATAATTGAAATTTAACAATTAAAATAAAAAATATGATTAATAAATTCAATTATTCTACAGCTGGTTTATGATTTCGTTCTAATATAAACACATCAAGTGAATTTGTTAATAAAACTTTCACAGCAAATTAACAAAACTCCAGAAAACTGTGTGAACATAAAAGTCAAGTACGACATTGGGTCAATTGGTTAAGGTGCGCTGACTCTGAGCATTAAATTTGGCAGGGCACGAGACAACTGATGATGGGTATTTGGCACTACTCGAAACAGTTCTCGAAACAGTCAGCCAAAAATTCAATTAATTAAAATAATATAAAAATGAACTTTTATTGTTGTAGTTCACTACTTTTCGAAAACCTCTTTATAAATTATTAATATTATTAATAAGACCTGTTTTTACAATGGATCATTTAAGTGCTCACAGATATTATTTAGTAAAACTGCTTTAGATACTAACTCGCGTTTTATGAAGTAAAGAAGAAGAATACGTGAAAGGAAGAATTTAAATTATATTTAACATTGAAGTTTTTCATTATCAAAACGGAAACTCGTTCACTTCAATTTTTTGACACCATAAACTTTATGGAAGTTGTACGTTAAAGCTACAAAATTATAATCCTATATCACAACGAAACAAAAATTAACTGAACTTGGCTCTAAAACAAACTTGTTTCATTATTTGGTTTCGTATATATTATGTAAAATTAGTGATTAATTTTTTTTTTCACAATTTAAAGATAGTTTGTCCTTTTTTTAGTGAACAAGTTTTTAGTAGTCTGTTTACTGAAAGGCGACAAAAGGAAAAGTGAATATAAGTCACCTCTTCTTATGGCACAAATAATTGAATATTAACGATTTATGTGGCGTGTGGCACAATGAACCGGAATAATTAAATATAGATTTAAAGTATTATTACTAAATATAGATTAGCAGCTAAGCTTTATAATATCAAATTATATAACCAATATGCATTTTTTTTTCTATTAAAAACACTTCAATGCAATATGCAACTAAAATTGCAGACATTTCGCGTAAATTTAATACTTATTGTTTAAAAAACGTAATTCCCGTATTTCACGGCACATAAATGCACTTTTGTTAACATTTCACTTAATTATAGTAGATAATGTTTAAATTTGTTACCAACGACATTTTTTTCCATTTATTTATTTTTGTTCAATGATTTTTTTCTTAATTTTATGTGCAACTTTAAAAATACCGAACGTAACAGAAGACAGACAAAAAAGCATAAATATTTATCTTGTGTAATAGCAATAATTTAGTGAATAAACATTACAAACATTTAGTGAAAAAAGTTTAAACAAGAATTCGCAAGCGAACTAAAAATTACTGCCTACCAATGTGTTTATGCGCTCGAAGTGCTTTCTTCGGGAAGAAAATGCAAAGTGCCTCACGCCACGGAAGATTGGACACTGTTTGTAGATACGATAACTGGCAGACCACAAGACCCCAAAAATAAAAAATTTTTCAATTGTATTTGTCTCAAACTCAGTACAAGAAGTATTGAGCGCACATGAGTATCGTCTTCTACTTCTGCTCCATCCAATGAAGTCTGCCTGTTGTCTGTTCAAGAAGAGCTTTAAAGTTCGACAAATCCATTGAATTGAAAAACTTACCGCGCCTTCAGTTTTAATGAGATTTACTTTTATTGTTTATTATTAAAATGTGTTATTATGTTTATGTTTTGTTTATTTACGATTTTATTGTTGTGCAAAATATAGTTAAATTATTTTTAAATAATTTAATTTCACTCATAAAAATATTTATATTATAAATGTTTAACGAATTGGCAGGGTGTACTGCATATTTATCGAGAAATTAATTTTTTTGACCTCATTAACTAAAATATTTAGAGAAGAAATTTTTGTAGAGAAGTTTCGAACAATACTGAATTGCAACAAAAAAAATTCTATTTTATTTTTAATTAATTGAAATTTAAAAATTAAAAATAACTATAACTAATTATAGGGGGTTATACATCACTAACCCTCAATTTTCCTACTTCACGCCCATGCTTTCTGGCTGGGATAAACCTACTCCGCTAGGTATTAGGCTCACATCTCTCTCCCTTAATTACTGAAATGAAGTTTTCACATTGCTTGGAAAGCTTCTCCATTCATTCCTAGGGTGTGGTTTTAGTGGGTTCAACTCTCACACTGTGGCTTTTGACGCAACTAAATTATGATTTCTTTTTAATATAACACATCAAATGAATTTGTTAATGAATTTTTACAGTAAATTAACATAACCCATTTTGAACATACAAGTCAAGAGCGGCTTTAGATCAGTTGGCTAATGAACACTGATTCTGAACTTTTAATTTAGCAGGGTACGAGTTCAACCCTTGGTACTTGTAGGTTCAAAAGATTATTTACGAATAATTACATATAAAAAATAATTCCAAGACTACTGTTGATGGGTATTTGACAATATTCTCGAAATAGCTGTATTGGCCAGTCAAAAATTCAATTAATTAAAAATAAAATAAAAATTTTTGTTATTGCAATTCAATTTCTATTAAGTAAAATAGTCACTACCGTTATAATTGACGTTGAAATCGAATTAAGGAATAGGGAAGAAATTTTTGAAGAATGTTATTTGTAAAAACTTTCCGTTAGAATGTTGTACAATTTATAATAATTTATAGAATATACAGTCAAACCTCTCAATAACGAAATCGTTGGTGCCTACAAAAAACTTCGTTATAAAGAGATTGAACAAAATTTTTTGGCATTTGCCTGAGGAATATGTACGTATTTATTTTAAAAATATATTTAATTCATGTTTATTCATATATATATACAAAACATTAAAAACATTAATTGTATATTGGTAAGTCTATAATTTTAGTTTGTTTAGACATTTTTACTTTTTCTTTATTAAAGAACTCTTCCAAATCTTCTAACAAGTTAATAGCTTGCATACAAAGAAGTTTCTCATAAGTTACAACATATTAGTTGAGTGTTTAACTTGTATTTGATAAATTCATTATAGAGAGGTTTTTTGTATGTAAAAATTTGTTTGCGTATCTAAAAAAACTTCGTTATAGAGAGGAATTCGCTATAGAGAGGTTCGTTGTAGAGAGGTTCCAATATATGAAAATCCTGTGTCTTCAACAAAACTTCGTTATAGAGAGGAATTCGTTATAGGTAGCTTCGCTATAGAAAGGTTTGACTGTATATAAAATACATGTACATACATATAAAATAAAGAAAATATATAATCAACTATATGTTTGACGATGTTCCCAGTAAAATAGCATTATTGCAGCTGATGAAGCCTTAGTCCAAAAAAATAAAAATATATATAATTGTGCCAATTCTTAATATTAACCAAGATTTAAGAATATCAAACAAAAATTTACTTAAAAAAAATTTTCAGTTATAAAAGAAATATTTTATAAAGTAAAGCCGCCCCTTTAGTTTTTTTTATCAATAAAATTTTTTTTCTTTATCAATGTAAAAAAGCTGAGATTATATAAGTATTATAGTATTATTATATAAGTATTATATAAGTATTAGTGCTTCATAGTCTTTGAGCATCAAATTAAATTGAATTCAACCATATGGATCGATCACTCCAAATATTCAAAAATTCTCTAGATACCCGAAAATATTCCAGCTACTTATTTAGTTTTGTTTTGTAATAAATAGGTATATAATCATTAAATTTCTTCTTTGCTTGATGCAACGTGAGTTAGTATCTAAAGCACTGTTACTCAATAGTATTTTGCTTTAACTCAATAGTGATCTACTCACTGTAACAAGTGTTCCATTGAATTATGATAATGAATTATTCAGATGATTACAAAAGGTATTATTTGAAATCCAGTTTATCTTCCTGACGAAATAAAAACCAAAAATAGAGAAGAATGAAGGAATGTCGTAAAACAAGCTTAGGTCCTATATGGATAGCTATCGATGATATCTTCCTGACGAAATGCATTTATATATTTCAATCCTAAATTAGTATCTTTGATATACTCTTGCACATTCTCGATTCTTAAGCCGTTGTGTATGCCTTCTTTTCTGATATATCATGGTGCTTTTATTATACGTTTCAAGATAATATTTTGATCATTTTGAAAATTGCAGTGATATAATCATTCATAAAAACAACTGAACAGCAAAAAAATAGCTGAAATTGCTTTTACTACGTATTTTGTTGTTGCATCATTGTCCTTCCTTACTGGAATTCACTATAATAGCAGATGCCCGACAACCATATGGTGTTCGAACATATTTAAGGGGCGAACTTACTTACTTTGCTATGACAGACGTGAATTCAAGGGGCTCGCAATGCTCAAATGCTCGAGTAATAATTCAAGAATTTTGTCTTTGTCTTATCTTTACTAGTTGCTGAAGTTCTATAATTAATAATCCAATAATGATCCAAAAATAATTATTGGATTTATTCGATGTTTCAACTGAAAAATTCAATCGTTAACCGTATAAGTAATTAAAATATTATAAATTTAACTTATTTATTTTTATAATAGCATATATTTTATAAAACAAATATGTTTCATATAAAAAAATTAATAATATAAATATGTTTAAATAAAAAGGGGTAAACAGTGATGAATTATAAGATTTTTGAAGTTTTTTTGGCTGAATATACAACTGTCGAATAATAACAAATATCGATCGTCAGTGGTCTTTGGAAATATTTTTTCGATTTCCTTCATTTTCACTATCAAATTTGTTGATGCAACAAAAATAAATTAACAAAGATTTAAGTTAGAACAACATAAGCCAAGTACGACATTGGATCAGGTGTCTTAAATTACGCCTTAAATTTCGCAGCAAATAATTAGATCCAAAAAATATTTCCATAGACCACTGATGAAGTCTTGAAACATTTCTATGGCTAACCACAAACTTTTTATTGTTGTAATTATTACTGGACACCACTTTTCTCAATATCGATTATATGAAGCGGACGTTTAGGAACGAGTAAAAGTACTAACTCTTAACAACTCCATTAAATAATAATTTAGATCCAAAAAATATTTCCATAGACCACTGATGAAGACTTGAAACATATCTATAGGTAACCACAAACTTTTTATTGTTGTAATTATTACTGGGCACCACTTTTCTCAATATCGATTATATGAAGCGGACGTTTAGGAACGAGCAAAAGTATTAACTCTTTACAACTCCATTAAATAATAATTTAGATCCAAAAAATATTTCCATAGACCACTGTTGAAGACTTGAAACATATCTATAGGTAACCACAAACTTTTTATTGTTGTAATTATTACTGGACACCACTTTTCTCAATATCGATTATATGAAGCGGACGTTTAGGAACGAGTAAAAGTACTAACTCTTAACAACTCCATTAAATAATAATTTAATTCTATTTATAAATAGTTTCTTTGTCATATTTGACTAAAAGTAATTATAAATATTTTTGTCTGAGTGAAATTTAATATTGCCAAAATAACTACATTGGCAAATGATTTCATTTTTTTTAAAGAGTTAACAATTTTATACATTGACTCATTTTACTTTTGAATCAGTCTTAACTTTGCAATGTTCTATAATTTCACAAATTATTTCGGCTATTACCCTAAAATTTGTATTATTTGTATTCAATAAACTACTTAAATTATTATGAGAAATTTTTTCTTAAAAGAACGTTTACTGAATAATAATTTAAAAATTTATTTAAAAAAAAATATTGCCACGTTTTAGTGTCATTGAACGCTTAAACAAACGGTTCATAAATGCTTTATAAATAAATTAATCATTTTTTATAATTATAAATCACATGGTTAAATATTTAAATTTATTTATATTAATTTTCTTTATATGAAACATATAATATCAAGTATAGTTTAATTAAAATATGTGTTTTAAACTAACTTGGTTTGACTTAGTAGAATTTCAATTAAAAAAAGTTCGTTGCTTGAGTCTTTTGATTTGTAAAATTGCGAATCCCATGTAAACAAATGTCAATTAATTCCTTTATTATTTTTAATTTAATTTTTTATTCGTTTATTTTTTATAATTTATTTATTATTACAAGTCATCATGCTTCATTTATTGGTGCAAAAATTGCATTTGATATTTGTAGAAAACACCAAACTGATCGGAATATGAAGTCGCAACAGCATCTGCACCATTAATAAATCAGTCAAGCAAAAACAAATATATAAATAAACACTTGAACCAAGGTTCCAAGCGATTTAAGCCAGTGAATTTGGTAATTATATTAAAAGATACAGCTTTAGGTTTTTTTTTATAAATAATAATAAAAATTAAAAAATAAAAAGTGTAAATTGTAAATTGTGGTTTTAATTTTTATTTATGACTAACGAGTATTTTGGTTTTTATACTTACGACTCAAAAGTTAAAGATATACCCACAGTTTGCTAAAGACGTATCTGTGCATAAAAATTAAAGATACATATGTATATAATTATTTTTATACACATTCAGATTTATGCGTCCAAAAGAAAATCAGTTCAAGTTCAGGCAGCTTTTCATGGCTTTATTAAACCATTAAACTTGTATGTCTTTTTAAGCTTTTTCTTCTATTTATACGTGTAAAAATAGAGGGTTTAATTGAATTTATTTATATGAAATAAAATGAAAAAGCTTTTAAAAACTTAAAATAGAGTACTTACTCTTAAGATATTTGTGCTAACATTAAATCTCAACTTCAATTTTTTATCTTCAATGCGACATACTATATTTAACCAACGGGTAATCTTAAGCAAAGAAGTTCGATATTATGATTTAATTATAATTAGTTGTTGGTGGGATAAATATATGAATTTACTATAGATAGCATGTTAATAATAATTTAGCGTCAACATTCATTCATCGCAGCAACCATAAATTGAAATTAAAAGTGTTGACATTATAAAATTTACTTAGGGCCATGTTATGCAGAGTGTCTCGCAAAAAATTCAGTTACTCAGCAAAAAATTCAGTTGCGTTCAGTCAGCAAAAAATCTAATACTCTGGCCGCACAAATCCTAAGAACTGAAATGCCAACGGACAGGATGATTGTAAAGTATAACTTTATAAAAAAACTTCAAAACTGAACTTGGCAACAAAAATAACTGGGAAAGTTTGTCCAAAACCCAAATAATAAAATAAAAGCACTGGGAAATAATGCAACTATCTTTCAAGCGGAAATATACGCGATCGACAGATGCGTCACTTTCAACTTTGAACGTAACTACCGGAATCTTAAAATCGCAATGCTGACTGACAGTCAAGCAACTATAATGGCACTCATATCCTACTAGGTATCATCTAAACTGGTAAGGGGGTGCATTGACAAGCTGAACATACTTGGCTGGAACAATCATGTGCACTTGATATGGATTTCTGGACATACTGGCATCCAAGGCAATGAAATGGCAATGACAAACTTGTAAGAAGAGGCGCGGCCTCAAGAATGATAGGCCCAGTGTCGATAATATACATCAAAGAATACCTTAAAAGAACGGCAACTCCCTTGTGAACTAAAATTCGTTTTTTGGAACCACAACAATTTCTGTGGACCTCTTGAGGGTGTTAGTAAAAAATGAACTAACGCCAACTGAAATTACTAAAATTTTTCTCCTTTTCACCTTTTATAAATACTGCAGGTACTTTTGAAAACGAAATATTTCGAAAAATGTACCACGATGAGCGTAAGAAAGAGTATAGTTTTGTTTCTCTGTTTTGATTTTTTTAGAGAAATACAAAATTTACCACGCAAATACTTAAGAAAAAGGACTTAAAATTGAACAAATAAAAGTGATCATAAAAAAACAATTTATGATAAAAACATTAATTTTGTACAAATAATTTAGCCTCAAGGAGTTTTCAGGTTATAATGACCAGAAAGCTTTGCCAAGATGTGCTAGAGCATTTCTTTGGATAAATAAAACGTCATGGAGGCAATTGTGTAGGCATCACTCATCGTTTCTTCACTTGCATTTTCCAGAAGAGATGGGGCTTAAATTATTTAATTGCGTGATAAATGGCAATACTGAGCAATGAATTATATTTGACTGTCATTGATTTACCACCCCCCATTTTCTCTTATCTCAGTTTGAAATCTGCATGCAGTGATACATTAGTGATCGATATGTTCGGGCAGGAGTCTCATTTGTTAAGTGAATCCATGCACTGTTTTCTTCAACATTTAAATTTTGATGTTGATATTGATATAGATGAACATATATTTCTTAGCAGAAATGCATTTTGTTATGAATGCGGGTGGTTGTATTTTAACCACCCGCTTTAAAAAAAGTTTGATAACGGTAAATTGGTGCAACTTCCTAGCGATTTGGTTGATTATATTCAAAAATTAGATAGACAATTTTTCAAACATTTTAATAGTAGTTACCAAAAAGTAGGCATACCACAATTTCTATAGCAAAAATTAAAAAATATATATCCATATGTTTGGTGTCAAAATTGCAAAACAGACAGTATTTTAACCCTTTTTATAAGGGTACGTATATATTTTGTGGTTAATAGGGATCTGTATTCTGTGTTTAATAGGGATCTGAATACAACTGGCTACATAAAAATGCTGTTGCATTTTACGTATTTATAGGCTTCATTTTTGACATGATATTCAGTTGTTTTCTGTATATATATATTATTTTTATAATCTTTTAATTTAAAATTTTTTTTCCTTGTTGTTTATATATATTTAAATTTACATTTAATTTTAAAAGTATTGTTATTACTATTGTGTCATTCTTTTTTTCTTATACTAATTTTTAAATGAATAAATAATGATGGTTATGCCTCTTGGGGGACCAACACTTAAGCTCAGTAACGCATATTAATGCATACGTTTTGAGCGGTGTGGAAAATGCATTCCAAATTTTGAACATTGATTGAATAAACAAAAAAGTATAAATGTTAAATAATTTACACTTATTAGTTTTATACAACTATTCAACTTATTATTAAAACTAAAATAAATAAAATGTTCATATAAATAAATCTTTATAAGGAATGCGCGAGCACCCACTCCCATGATCTGTTTTCGCTACAGATCATTTAAAAATTTATGTAACATAAACTAATAAAAAAATAAACCTGCTGAAATCATTTCATTTAAAAAAGGAAATTGGTAGTAACTTCAGCCTTTGTTACTAATTTCACATCAAAGTGGTATTTAATGATATTATTTCAAATTTATCAATCATAGTTTTTTGTAAGTATCCAAACATCAGAACTTTAGATCGTAATGATATTTGTTACTTTTACAATGTGTATATCAATGTCATGATTAATATCCACAAAGTCTTCGGAGAGGCCTTCAATCCAAACCGATCTCCGACAATATTGTTATTGCCGTTACAGACATATACTAACAGCATTTTATCTATTGATGGATTGAAATAGTTCCCAATGAATTCCAATTTTATTACGTAATGAATAAACCTATACTATATCTAATTTAAGCGCATATCTATTGAGTGATACAGCTATATAATAATGATCTAGTACAAATTGTGTTGGTTAAAAATTTTTGAAGAAAATATAACTCATTAAATAAGTAATATTCAAAATTCTTCTAATTTCAAAAAAAATCCGACTTTTTTCCATCGCTTGTAGTTTCGTTACCGAACGTAATAAATTTATATTAATTATATATTAGACTATAAAATTCATACTAAAAAAAACAATAATTAAGAATTTATTGAAAATAAAAAAATTATCTTTGATCATCTGCATTTATATGATTAAATGATTAAACAAACAAATTAATAATAAAAATAATATTTAGTCAATAGAATTAAATATTTATATAATAAAAATTATATATTAATTTTTTATTATATTTTTATATTTTCATTTATTAAATTTTTTTTATATTACATATTATATTTTAAACATATATATTTTGTGTACGTTATATAATATTATTAAACAAATAAGTATATCATTACTAAATGATATATTTGGCAAATTTTTTTGATTGTATTATATTGTTATTGTACTGTATATCTTTATATACTAAAATTCTCCCAATTACTTATTGCCATTTAGTAAGGCAGATGTAATTATAAATAAATATATAAAAAAAAAAATTGTATTGTATATTGTAAAATTTAAATAATAATAAATTCAGTTTCAATAGTTCCAAAAAGAATGTTTATGATAATTTGTTGCCTTTTACTGTGTTCAGACAGCGCAAAAAAAAAATTATTTAATTATAAAATAAACGAAGATTTTTGAAAACTTTTCACTTTATTGTAAATTATATGATGGATTTTTTTTTACATTTTTAATATATTAGCGTTTCAAAACACTAATATATTAGTGTTTTTATACTTCGTCGGTCTCATTAAAATAAATATTTTTCTACCATTTAATATGAATATTTTCTTTTAAAATAAATGCAACAAAGTTACTCAAACTTTATTATTATTTTTTATTTAAATTGTTTTCTGTACAGCAACGAAATTTTTATTTAGCGCTAATGAAGAATTAATAAAGATTTTTACTAAATCAAATTGTGTCTGAATAAAGTAAAAGAAGCCAATTCCATTGACGAAAAATATAGCTCTATATTTATTTTTTTTTTGTTTCTTATATTATAAAATATTGAAGAAATTTGTAAATTATTGATTATAAATAATAAATAAAAATACAAATGTCCAAATAGCATAAATAATATGATTTAATATACTTTTATAACAATATACATAGATATGAATTTATATTCAATTGCTTATAATATATTTTTTAAAATTAATTAATTTATTTTTAACTAATAATTAATTAACATATTTTATATAAAAATAATATAAAAACAATGTTCGTATGAAATATATATAGACTCCACTTTGACAATTGTTTTTGAGTTTTCCAATACTGTTTTCATCTAGTACACACATTCTATGTTTTAAGTAGAAAGTCTATGTTTTCTATTACGTTTAGATCAGCTGTTTTTCCTGATGGTGGTATATCAACAAAGGTAAACACGCCGGGTTGTGATTCATTTAAAAATTTACAAAATATATGACTAAATAAATCATTGACAAATATAGTAAACTAATAAAAACAAACTTCAGGAAAATTAAAATACAGAAGAACTAAAAATGGAAGTGCCATTTAGTAAAGAAAATTTTTTTTTACCAGAAATTAAATACGAATGTAAGTTTGAACGCATGCTTGTGGGAACACATAATTTCATAATTTTCTAATATAACGCATAATTCGTTTCAGATTTGGATCACACTGCCGATGTACAGTAAGTGCATTTATTTATTATATATTTATATATTAGGCACTTGTTTTAAGTTATTTAAAGTGCAATGAACTTATTATCTAATTCAAAGTCAATAACTTTTTATAGTTGAAGGAATCGAGAAGAACTATTTCTGTTTCAATGGCACTTAATTGATTAGTTGAGGGTATAAGGTTTATTAATTCAATTTTGAAAAAGCTTCTTAAAGCAAACAATATGGAATGTGTTGCTGCGCGCTTTTCATGAAGGAGTCTGAAAGATTTCAGCTGTACGATTTGTCATATATTTTGAAATCAGATTCAGTTCAGATTAAGTTGCAGGTGTTAAAATAGTGTGAATAGCTAAATAAGATTGCTTCTTGATTACTGTTAATACTTTTTAATGATGATAAGTATTGTTCTCCGTAGTTCTTATGAGTCACGATGCATGCAGTATGAGCGGTTTGTTAATATGGACTTTGTGGCAGTTAGCGCTGTCACAATGGAGACAGTTTTAAATCCACGCACCTAAATGCTTACAAAAACTTTAACATTAGGAACATTAAAAAAAGAGTCGTGATCCTTTATTACTTGAGCAAATATTTCTTCCAGTTGTCAAATTCATATTTAACAACTGGCAATCCCTTAAACGAATCCTAATTGATACGACATGTACAGGAAGGTGTATTCTAAACCTGTATCAAATCATAAACTGCTTGATAAAACACAGTTATCGTTAAACAGGTATAATATATAAACCTTAATTAAAGACTTCATTTTAATCATCACAACGCTTCTCCTTCCTTGGAAAATTTTGTCCATATTTATTTATATATTTTGGTTTTTGATATCTTTGTAGTTGTTGGAATCAGTGATGATCCGTATAGTAGGGAACATGAAAGAAATTAAAATATGAATACTTGGGTTAGGATGTGATTGGGTAAAGATAGAGTGAGAAGAGGGAAATAAGGGAAAGTCGTGCATGTGGTTGGATCTTAATTGTAAATACCGTGGGTTTAGGTAAAGGAACCTGACTATTTGGATGAGTGGGAATCAGATCAGAAGGGCTCAAATTAACGTGTGGTATAAGCAAAGAAAATATATAAGGTGGCATCATGGAGAGTAGTGCTGCATTCGGGCTTGTTGTGTTTTGTGGCCTTTGTGGATGCAATAAATGATTTATTTTTATAAATGCTTAATTTAAATTCTAAGCCTGTTTCACAATGTAAAATAGCTGTTGATATTAGCTAGTGTTTCATTTTCTACTTTCAAAGCAAATGAATAGATTTTGAAAGAGCAGGAGTGCTATATAGTTGCATGATTTCAAATGGCAATAGTTGATTTACTCTCTTATAGTTAAATTGTCTGGACATGAAGTGATAACTTGAGACATGAAGTGATACATTCATACTAACAGTAGATAATAGCCATGAATGAGTCTAGTTTAACCGTTGTAGTCTAAAATTTTATTGAATGGGTAAAAAATGATGATGTTGAAACTTTCTACAACTATAAATCTATAAAAGATCCAATTTCCAAGCCGCGCTTGTAGATATTAAATATTTTTGTAAACATCGCAAATAATTTGATTTTTCACATTTGCAACAATTCTTCAAGTGTTTCTCGTAGTTTAAAGATTTGTATGTAGCATTCAATTAATATATGTTTTTTTAAACACGTATAACATGGTTTTTGTTCCCATCCATCCACAATCCACGTCTTCTCCCTTATCCCTCTGCTCCTATCTTCAACTATCACCTATTCATTTCGTAACCCATGTATTTGTCATAGTATCACAGTGATTATTTCAAACCTCACTTTTTTGAATGTTTGGAAGAAGTAGTGATCCGAAAATGAAAATGCTTGGTTACATTTTAGCAAGCTAGCAGGATAAATCATTAAGCCTATTCTATATTATTACCCTTTAATCTTGTGTTACCTACACAAGATTATTTATGTAATACATAAATTAAATCAGAGCTGTGACTGTATAGGAAAAGCTGGAATGAAGTTAAGCAATTTCCAATCGAAAGAAATTAAAACATACCTATAATTTGTTATGACCCAATGTTCTTTGTAGGATTTTTAAATTTATATATTCGATTTTTCTCTGTGTTGTATATATTGTCTCATATATACCACGTTTCCAATGTTTCATTTTCTTCTTCTCCTCCAAGCAGTTAGTGAGTTGTTTAATGTTCTTCCTAGAAATTTTGTGAAGTTATACAGACTTATTCATCTTTCTTTACATTCGCTTATTTATAGCGCCACTACAACACTAGTAATATTTATATTTACAGATTACATTCTTGGGGAACGACGTTAAAGGAAGCTTTCGAACAATGCGGTATGGCTATGTTTGGTTATATGACCGAATTGGAATATGTAACGATACATCAATGTTTTGAAGTCGAAATGAAAGGTGACGATTTGGAGAGCTTACTCTTTCACTTTTTGGATGAACTTCTGTTTTTATTTTCAACTGAACCATTTTTAATTTGTAAAAAACTGGAAATCACAAAATTCGATATCGAAAATTTTGAAATTGTTTGTCGTTGTTATGGTGAACCTTTTGAACTTGGTAAACATCCACAAGGTACAGAAGTTAAAGCGATTACTTACTCAGCTATGCAGATTGTACAGCAGCCGGAAAAAAGTAATTTTGAATTGTTTGTTATTATTGATATATAAAATTAATTTATATGGTACACGTAAACTGTGAACTATGTGTTTAAGACCTCATTTATTTTATTTTATATAACAGAGTCATGCAGGTACATATAATATGTACATATAGTTAAAAAATAACTTTCTGATTTGTATAATTACATGTTACACGTTAAAATGTTTATAAATAATTATATTTTTTTACATTAAAAACAACATATGATATATGCTTTAGTATTATTTATTAAAATTACTTATTGAATCCCCAAACCTATATGAGTGATTTATAATAGAATCACTAAGTAAATTTAGAAGTCATTGCTTACGTGTATGTTCACAAAATGATATCGTTAGTTGGGTTCTTCATAAAAGAAGGAATCCTATATTTTCCACTATAACAAAACTAAAGTCAAAATTAACTGACATTGCATTATATAAACCAGTCACATAATTCCGTCAGACTGGAAAGAAGAATATATGCTTCAGAAGCTCCTACTTGAGTTGGGAATTCAGAAGTTATATGAGCTGGTTTATGTTTCCGTATTAGTCAAAGGACGTGAGGATCGACTTAATTGGTCATCACTAGTATTTACATTCAATATGTTAAAATTATTATAATTAATATATAAATGCTGTGACAAAGCACTTTCAAATGAGCAAATCTTAAGTCTACAAACATAAATCCTTTTTTCTAGAATTATTATATGCAAATATAAATATGGTGTTTTCGATTAGTGAATGTGAACTCAGTCTCAATCAGTCAAATTTTATTGTTCAATCGAACATTTTTAGAATACTCTAATATTTTAATAGTAGTGTTAGTACACGTCTATATTTTTCATAAATACATACATATATCGAATCAAATCACACTTTATTTGTCTAATCATTTAAAACAACTGTTAATTTCAGGATAATCTTGTTACCCTTTTAAAATATCTAGAGTGTTATAAATTAATCTCAAGTATTGTATTCGCTCGAGATTTACCAATCGAAAATGAAAACTACACTAAAACGAATTTCTAATTAAAAAAGTTACTTGAGATTAATCAAACCAAAACCGCATTCGTTTTTATATTCCCTAGTGGGGAATAGGGTCCCACTATGTCGTTTCTTAGAACATCTTAATTACCTCATATATAGTATTACAATTCTGGTTTTAGGAATATCTCTTTCAATGTAACTTATTGATTCCAGATTACAGAGCTACAATATACTAAATTCGAGATCTTAAGAATACAAATATTTATATACGAGTTAAGAGATTTGGTGCAGTTAGTTTCCGCATTAGATTATACTATTGATTAAAGGTATTCCTTTCCTGTTTTCAAATCGTTTCGAGAATTGTTAAGATTTCTGATTGAGCTGTAATATTAGAATAATAAGGGTATGCCTTAAAAAAAAGCCAAATGATTTTCTTTTTGTATCATAAATATACGAATATCATTGATTATTTCTTTACAATAAAGTTTGTACCTTTTCCTCCTCTTCCTCCTGCGACAAAAATTAGTTATTTGAAATGATAAAATCACTATCGTTGACTTCTTAGTAAGAAGTTCTTACACTATTTTTTTGGTTTAAATATTTTCTTATATCAAAAATCGAAATATTGTATGATATATTTACGCGCTTGACGGACTATTTAGAGTAAGACTATTGTCCCAATTACATAGAAGGGAATCTTAGTGGTCCTATAATATCTATTGACTCATCAACATTGAAAGGAACAGAACAGAAAAGAGTTTCATGTGAAGGTCGAGGTACATGAACTCATACATAATACATGAAAAAAGCTTGATATCTTCCCTTATTACTTTTTATTGGTCAAATCGAAGTAACCCTTTAACTGATTCATAATCAATTTTTTTATAGTCGTTTGAAAAAAAACTCATGGTATTGTTAAAATTTTTTACAATAATGAAGAATTTAAATTTAAAAATTAAGGAATGAAATTGCATTCTTCAATCAAAGTGCCAAAATATGCCAAGGAACCACAAAAATTTGTTTTTCCATTTCTTTGCACAATCACAACCATCAAAGGAAAGGGGTTGAATTAATGGGCCTTTAGGCTATAGTCTTTGTGCATCAATGCATTTTTTTTTTGATGAAATAAAAGAATTTAAATTAAGATCGTCTGTCTGTCTGTCGAGAATTCACGAAATTTGTATGCAATTACATATTTACCATACTGAAAGCGTTTTTTCTTCTTTGTGAATGCACAATATGGGCATTTCTCAGATATTCGGAGACAGAAGAAAACACATATGTCTAATCGTTTGTGTAAATGAGGTATCATTTTTACGCTTTGGCTACTGCTATTATAACAATTGGGTGCACTGATGTAATCTATTCCATTGCAAAAAAAAATTAATTATAAATCCAATTAAATGAGGTTTCAAAAAAATTGAGGATCATTTTAGTTTAATAAACGAGTTTGAATTATTAAGACTACCGATCGAATAGATGGATAATCTTGGGGTAATCTTTCAGCAGAAATATTTTGAATCATATAAGTGTATAATATAGAATAAATTAGTAATCGAAAGCAAAAACTATTTTTAGCTATATAATTTGTATGATCTGGCAATAAAAAAATATTTATGCAGATCTACTTTGATAAGAAATGTTGTGTTATGTGTAATATAATGTCCAGATTTCATACTTTTAGAAAGCTCTGTCCTAACAAGCCTGCTACTAAAAATTTATCTCCAGTGCTATCATTTTGTTAATTATGTATCGTTGAGTAGAAACGTCACATTTAATATAGTATTTAATTAGAAATAGAGATACTAACATATATAACAAATTATGAGATCTATGGGTTATTGTTTTTAATATCTTTCCATGTGATACTGAAAGAGTATTTGTCGCAATTACAGTAGATATATAGTACTAGAAATTCCTTTGTTTAACAAAGTTTGACCTTTTAGTAGATTAGGTTGAGTTAGTGTGTTAGTCAGTTATAGTTTTAGTAAATCGCTTATGCTATATTTTTAGTTCTTAAGATCATTCTAAGATTTTGATGATTCACTGATTTAATTTGCTAAATGAAATACGTCCAATCTGGTGAACCATATTGTTTTGACATGTACTATTTTTTGTTTTTTATGTCTTCATTTTTATTATTTCTTTCTTCTTCTATGACTGAAAATGAGACTGAGAAAGTGAACATTCAACTCTTTTGAGTATATTTTCTTACGAGAAGAGGTAAACACTATTAAAATACAATATGATTTATGATCGAATGATTTATGATATGATATGATTGATTTAGTATTGGAATAGAACAGAGTTGAGGTTGCTGGTGGGATATTTAAGGGGTCGCTATGGACTGCGTTATTACGTTAACAAAATGAGTCTGTCCGAAGAGACTCCTCCTCCTGCCCAGCCTTGATCTGGGTCAGGAGGAGGTCACTGTGTCAAAAACTACTGTCCTTTCTGACATTAGAAGGTCTTCAATGGCCGTCATTTTTCCTTTCATTCGGAAGGTGGAATGTCTTCTGTTCGGTTAGGGCGTGTTGCAGTACAAAAGATCAACTATGGTCGCAGTGCTCCGCTCCGTTGGAAGCTGGTACCCCTTTTATTCCTATTTCTAATATTGGAATGCTAATAATAATAACTTAAATGTTCAAAGGATTAACGGTTACCAAAACAACAGATTACCTATTTAAGAAAAAGAAAATAGTAATTTTCAATATATTTAAAATGAATCTCTTCCATTTATTAAAGAACCTGGTTACTGGCACTGTTCTTAACACGACAAGATATGGATTTGACTGTTGGAAACCGAACTGAAACTTGCACTATATCTGCTAAAACAATAGAGGCACTTATTAAGTTTTCTGTGATTACATTGATTTAATATAAAGTAGCAAAATGCAATTAATGTAAAAGTATTTCAGCGAGTACAAATCATTTACTTCAAGAATTTTCTGGTTTTTATTAAAAAGAAGTTGTTCGATTCTGTGGAAATGGCACTCGCTCAAATCTAATACAATAAATATTCCGCTAGAAAAATATGCTGGTCTTAAAAGTATACTTCTATAAAATCATCTGAATAACTTATTATTAGAATTCAACGGAGCTCTTATTACAGTGGAACATCTAAATGATCACAGACACTATTGAGTAAGAGTGCTTTATACATTAACTCGCTTATACACTAACTCGCTTATACATTAACTAACAAATAAAACTAAGTTACGACAGCATTCAGTTGTTAAAATTTATGTGAAGGTTTTGATTTCCAAAGGGCAATATTAATGTCCATTTAATGTAAAATCGCACTGATCTTGTTTTCAATTCTTCTAAGAATAAACTACTCATAATGAGGCTCTATAAATAGACATCTCCAATGCGCGAGTATTATTCTAAAAGGATAGTAAAAGCAATAAAAAAATTATCAAGAGTGCGCTACCCAAGAATCGTTCATCAACTGATTAATTCATGTGTAAGGAAAACATACTGTTCTGTTTTTGATCCACCTAAAGATTCGATGCTCTAGGTGTTAAGAGACTTTTCCAATGCTCGAATGTCATCCTTAAAGAAATAAAAATCAAAGCATAAGTGAGTACAATTAAGGAGATCTAAAACTATTCGCTGAAAGAGATATAACAAATATAATAGATTTATATTCTCGACTCTAAATTTGTCAAAGTACATGCATATTAAGCTACAGCCAAAGCTAGTAGTCATACAGACTTTCCCGCCAATTTCGTTGCATACTAAAGAAAATGGCAAAGCAATAAAAGCAATTACTGTCTGTGTATATAAACTTAAGAGTGTGTGGTTGGTTCACTCAATTTTCTATTTTCGAACTTAGATCTGTATCCGTTAAAAGAAGAACAAGTTCCACAAATTATCTTATCAGCTTACGCTATTCTAGTACGAAACTAGGGACATAAAAATTGTAATTTTGAAATTTTAATATTATTACATGTGTATAACTGAAATAATATAATATCATATACTCTCTATATATACATATAAGAAAATTTTTAATTAATGTTTTTATACATAAAACTTTTAATAAATATGAAGTAAATGAAAAGTATCAATTCTACATAAGAAGAAATGAGTAAAGTAGAGTTGACAAGTTCTCATTTGTATAATGAAAGTATGTTGAAAAGTAGCATATTATTTAAATACCGAGCTAGAGACAAAATAAATAAATAAATACATTCGGCAATCA